AGGCTGGGTGTCAAGAATGTACTTAACAGCTTTTTATTTGTGACAAGTTCCTACCCTCCTTGTGCCTTACTTTCCCTGTCTGGCTTGCTAGTGGTTCTTAGCTGGAGCATTTTAATCTCCATTTGAGGAAAGGTATAGTATGTTGTTCAATAATTCAGTACTTTTCCATCTGTCTGGGTTGGAGAGGTACATATGTGCCTTGCCCCTGTTTTAGTCCCATTCCTTTATCCCTTCTTCTGTCACCTTTCATGTTCACTTCTGCTGGGCAGAGGTGGGTGGACCACTTGAGGTCAGGAATTCGAGACCAGCCTGACCAACATGGAGAAACCCTGTCTCTACTAAAAATACAAAATTAGCCAGGTGTGGTAGCACATGCCTGTAATCCCAGCTACTCGGGAGGCTGAGGCAGGAGAATCGCTTGAACCCGGGAGGTGGAGTTTGTGGTGAGCCGAGATCATGCCATTGCACTCCAGCCTGGGCAACAAGAGTGAAACTCTGTCTCAAAAAAAAAAAAAAGAAAAAGAAAAGAAAAGAAAAAGAAAAGCCCCTAAGGAAGTAATAAATTACTAAAGGGATGAGAAGAAGCTTGAGGGCGGGTGGTGAGAGAGGTAAGGGCTGAAGGGAGAAATTGAAATGGAGCCTAAAGGGAAGGGCGGCTGGATGCTATTTGGAGTCTACCTGGCTCTAATCAACAGGGCAGCTGTTTGTCATTGCTGCTGAGGAGGAACAAAGGAAATGGGTTGAAGCGGAATTTAGTCAGAAGAGGTTTCCTAAAATTAGTGAAGCTGACCCTGGAGAAGGTAATGAGAGGGCCTTCCTTTTAGGGACTATTGAAAATTCCTAACAGGGACTCTTTTTTTTTTAAATAAAGATGGGGTTTCACCGTGATGGCCAGGCTCGTCTTGAACTCCTAACCTCAGGTGATCCACCCACCTCGGCCTCCCAAAGTGCTAGAATTACAGGCATGAGCCACTGCGCCTGGCCCTAACAGGGACTCTATGGTGTTGTTTGCATCCACCATAAGAGCTAAACAAGTTTAGTTGTACCCTGTTCAGAAGCAGAGGAGTAAAATCCCAGAGCAAAGAAACACGATCTGGAGTGTATGAATCTGAACACAAATGTTCAAAGGCAAGGATTTCCCAAGTCCAAATTTGGCACAAATAAAAAAGAACTTGGGTGCTGTGTGGAACTGGTTTTTTTCCATTGTTGACCTGGCAGAACCTTCTTAACCGAACAGCTGAGCAAGTTTGATGCTTTTATGAAGCAAGATAGAAGCAAAAATATGGGCCAGCATGAGGGTGATGATCACAGAAAAACAAAAGGCGTGGTACTTGCGGAAGTAGTACTCTGCTTAATGGAATCGGGAGAGGGGAGGGGGAAAGAGAGGACTGGGCGGACATTGGCATCTACACATACAAGTGGCTTCAGCTGCCAAGTAATTCAGAATACTTCAAATGCCCTTTAGGTGCCCTGTGAAAAAGAAACTGAAGTGGATAAAGACAACCTGACTGGCTGGAGGCTTGAGTCCTAGTAATAATGTACTTTCAATTGGAAAAACTTACTCTATTCTGAGAAGAAAAATTGATCTCCATTCCTCCCTAGCACTTCCTGGTTAGAAATAGAATGAATTTGCTGTGATTACTTCTTTTGGGAGGAACCTGAGAGTTATGTTGGGGAGCTGGGTGCAAGTAGGAGAGTTGGGCCTGTTTAATTCCAGGCCAGTGACTCGCATCTGGTCCGCTGCATGACCCTGGATGTACCCAGTGCAATGCAGCACACCTAGATCACGTGATTTTAGCTACCAGGAGGAGGGGGCTCTCGTTTCTAAATTGCTTCTCTCGGCCAGCAGTGGCCTCTCTGTGATTCAGAAAGAAAAACTCTGACTCATAGGCCCTGTAACTAGGCCCCCTTCCTGGGCTGCAGCGTTGCCTTGTAGAGAATTCTCCCTGCCCCCAGACTGTGGCTTCGGTTGTACAAAAGCCAGTCTACAGACATCAAGGTCAGAGCAATGCTTTTTGTACTGTGCTATGGAAACATCCTGTTCTATCAGATTCATTTAGCCCAAAGCACCTAAATCATTTCTTATTTTCTCTGCCTTCCCATCATCCTATCACCTCTGCTGCCTGCTCCCACTCAAAAATAAAACAAAACAAAACTCTTCCAGTCCAGGCTCAGCCATAAGAAGTTCTGTTGTTCCAAGCATCCCATCTTGATTGATGGCTAGGTTGAGTCACGCCTCCTCCCCCTAACAAGGAAGTGTACCTCCCTGTTTACAGTTAGCTAACAGTTCCTGGTTATTCATTCAGGAAATGTCAATGACCTTTTTGTGATAGGCTTAGAATCTGTTTTTCTTGGTGTAAACATAATAGGTTTTACCTTCCCCATGACCATTTCTCTTCCTTCCGCATCCTGGAGTCACATTCTCCCTGATCCATCAGTGCCTAACTGAATAGTATCCTACTGCAGTGAGAAGTATGTTTGTCCAGGCGTCCTGGATTCTTGTGAGCTCCTGGTGATAAGAGAGCGCCGTCCTATAATTTTTGTATCCCCCACAGTGCCTCCTATAATGCCTTGTGTTTTGGCAAAGTAAATTTTGTTTGTAGGAGGTGAAGGAGAAGACCTCTGAGATCACAGGGACAGTGAGGTCTGGCTAGACTTCAGAAAGTCCTGACATTCTGAAGGGGAAGGGCCTAGTGGTTAAGGTGAGAAAGAGTGTAAAAGCAGCCTGGCTAGAATTAAAAGCAAAACCGAACCAAACCAAACCATTAGGAAGAGAGGCCTTAGGAGAGAAAACGGGACTATGTCTGAAATGTGATACGAAGACAGTCTTCAGGGCAGATCAAGTTGAAGAGCTATTGTTTGATATGTAATAACAAAGCCTTGCTTTTGTTTTTCCCTGAGCTTAGCTTTCCTTGGGGGCATCAGTCCTCTTTGATATTGCTTGTCTTTTATGAGAGTATTTTTGAGACCCTTTTATACCTAAAGGTCTAGCAGCAGAATTGCTGCACACAGCCTCAACTGGAGCTTCCAGTGTCCTATCCTTTGTTAGAATCTCATAATGAGTAATTTATCATCTGCAGGGTGGCCGCCCTTCACTGTTCACTCTGTACTGAGTCCGCCCACTCCCTGCCCCCGCTTTTGCTTACATGTTCGCTGCCATTCTCTCATACTTGGCAGGAGCGCTTAGATTCTGTATGTGCACCTGTTAGTGTGAGTGTATGTTTTCCCCTCCTTCTTTATGAATTTTCAGGATTTTCAGCTGTTAAATATTTTTGTCTCTTTCTCCCTTTGCCTTCCTGAGGACGTCAGCTAGGACCCTATTCTAGATTTTTATTTGAACAACTTGATTTGCCCATCTTTTTTTTGAGATGGATTCTTGTTCTGTCTCCCAGGCTGGAGTGCAGTGGCATGATCTTGGCTCACTGCAACCTCTGCCTCCTGAGGCAAGGCGCACGCTGCCATGCCCAGCTAATTTTTTGTGTTTTTTTTTTTTTAGTAGATATGGGGTTTCACCGTTTTGCCCAGGCTGGTCTCGAACTCCTGAGCTCAGGCAGTCTGCCAGCTTTGGCCTCCCAAAGTGCATGCTTGGCCATGATTTGCCCATTTATTGTTCATAAGATTAGTAGTCTAAAAAGGCCTTATCTGCTGAGACTGCTTCCCTCTTGGTCCCAGAGTCCATCTTGTTTTGGTTTGGGCAGTTTTGTTTTAATCCAATGAGTAGTAGGCCGAGACCAGAATAAAATTTAAGGTGCAAGGACAGGGGAATCTATGAAGCCCGGCCTGGCTTAGCCCCAGGTTTCCTGTGTTAGCACACTGCAGAGACCAGTTGAGTGGGGATAAGGAAGGCTTCTCTTCTCTTATAATCTCCGCAGGTTTCTAGAGGCAGAACTGGATTCCCAGGGAGTTAACAGAACATACAGAGGAGGCACAAAAGCATTGCCACAGGATACATATTCCTCGCCCATGCCAGCCTCATAGCTCATGGTTGAACTTGACTTCTTCCTGCTTTATTAAAAGATCTAGAAATAAGAAAGTCAAATATTTATTTTCCCTGAGATGCTTCCGGAAAGAGAGGGACCCTATCCATCCCATTACCACTCCACCCTTCTGTGTAGATACAAGGAGGGCCAGCTGGGGCTAGAGACTCTTTTTTGTCACCAAATCCTGTTTTTGTTAGCATTATCAAGAATAGTCCTGGGCCTTCATTTTTGCCTTCCCTCATGCTTGAGGGATTTGTGTTTTTGTGGGCTCTGGGATGTTGGGGGTGGGCTGCAGGTCTAAATGATAATGCAGGAAATGGGAAGTGGTCACTCATCTGAGTTCACAGGAGTACCCCCCTTGGCCTACAGGTTGAACACTGAAACTGTTGGGATCTGAGTCAGGCTAGAGGATGCTTCTGGATGGGCAGGCTCTGCCTTTCCTCTCCAGAGCGACTAGGCTCACAGGATGTTCCTGACTCTCTTCCCTGTCTCTTTGGAGACTTCTTTTTTTTTTTTTTTTATGGGGCGGGGGGTGGGGGGTTGGCAGGGACAGAGTCTTGCTCTGTCACCCAGGCTGGAGTGCAGTGGCATGATTTTGGCTCACTGCAGCCTCTGCCTCCTGGGTTCAAGCGATTCTCATGCCTCAGCCTCCTGAGTAGCTGGGATTACAGCCGTGCACCACTACCCCGGGGTAATTTTTGTATTTTTAGTAGAGACGGGGTTTCATCATGTTGGCCAGGCTGGTCTTGAACTCCTGGCCTCACGTGATCCACCTGCCTCGGCCTTCTAAAGTGCTGGGATTACAGGTGTGAGTCACTATGCCTGGCCTCTCTTTGGAGATTTGTCTCCAAATATTTCCTTTGTTTCCTGGAATTAAGCAGTAGTGTCAGGTGTGGGGGGTGTTCTATCTGAGCTTAGTTTATGTGCTATTGTTTCACCCTTTCTCCCTCCTCCTCCCATGAGCAGCCTGCCATGCTAACTTCATTATTATTCTCTCTCTTCCTGTTTTCTCTCCCGAAGGAGAGGGCTGAACCCCCCTCATCGTGTCAAGTCAATCTCCATGACAACTTTCACTGAGCCTGAAGTAGTTTTCCTACAATCCCGTGGAAATGAGGTGAGCTGCCACCAATGGAGTGGTGAGAAGGTCACCCTATCTGCAGGCGGGGCTTTGCCTCAAGACTGTAGGGAAACCTTACGGTTTCTCTTAATTTTTTCATATGTATGATTTCTTTTCTTAGGTGCATTTGTATATTTACGGAACCTTAGTTGTACAAATTGTGGTTTGTATAGGCCCCTTTTTCTGTAGTCAGGGGAAGTAGCAATTTCTTTGTAGGATGTGGTACCTGGGCAATGGAGGAGTAGAATGATCGGAGCTCTGGGGCTTGAGCACTCAGAGTTGACCAGGCCAGCCCTCTGAGGAAGCTCTCCTGGGGCCAGCTCTGCTGCCTTAAGCTTTGACAACCTGTATTTAAATGCATGTCTTTTACTTGAAAGTGACTTAAATCTCTTCCCCAGCTAAATTTACTGATCAGAAGTTGCCATCCTTGGCGTTAGCAGTACCCCCAGATTATGGGTGATTGGTTTACTTACAGGGTGTCATCAAGGGCTTCTGGAGGTGTCCTGGAAGCCAGGGCTCTGAAAATTGTCCCTGATCCTACCCTTGTCAAATTCAGTTCTCCATAATTCTCATGGCCCTCTGTTTTCCCTTTTTCAATACATGTCACAAAATGTGACTATAACTTTAGTTTTATTTATCTAAGACATGACCACCCCATTAGATTATAAACGCTGCAAGGATAGAAATCATGTCTGGTTTGTAGGTAAACCCAGATCCTAGCACTGTGTCCATGCTCTATCTATCTATCTATCTATCTGAGACAAGGTCTCGCTCTGTCACCCAGGCTGGAGTATAGTGTCACGATCTTGGCTCACTGCAACCTAAACCTCCTGGGCTCAAATGATCCTCCCACCTCTGCCTCCTGAGTAGCTGGAACTACAGGCATGTGCCACCATGCTCCACTAAGTTTTGTATTTTTTTGTAGAGAAGGGGTTTCGCTATGTTGCCCAGGCTGCTCTTGAACTCCCGTACTCAAGTGATCCATCCACTTCGGCCTCCCAAAGTACTGAGATTACAGGTGTCAGCCACCACACCTAGCCAATGTATAGTTACTGATGAATAAATAGAAGTGGTGGCCAGGTGTGGCGGCTCACGCCTGTAATCCCAGCATTTTGGGAGATGGTGGTGGGCGGATCATGAGGTCAAGAGATCAAGACCAGCCTGGTCAATATAATGACACCTCGTCTCTACCAACAATACAAAAAATTAGCCAGGCATGGTGGCAGGTGCCTATAATCCCAGCTACACGAGAGGCTGAGGCAGGAGAATTGCTTAAACCTGGGAGGTGGAGGCTTCAGTGAGCAGAGATCACATCATTGCACTCCAGCGAGACTCTGTCTCAAAAAAAAAAGAGATCAAGACCATCCTGGCCAACACAATGAAACCTGTGTGGTGGTGCACGCCTGTAGTCCTAGCTACTCGGAGGCTGAGGCAAGGGAATCACTTGAACCTGGGAGGCAGACGTTGGAGGGAGGCGGTATCCCACCACTGCACTCCAGCCTGGTGACAGAGCACGACTCCGTCTAAAAAAAAATAAAAAGGGAAGTGGTATCTTTTGTATTTCATGCTTTCTGCTCCAACTCCTCTGACACCTTCATTCTTTTAGGTTTGCCGGAAGATTTGGCTAGGTCTGTTTGATGCTCGGACATCTTTAGTACCAGATTCCAGGGATCCTCAGAAAGTAAAGGAGTTTCTCCAGGAAAAATATGAGAAGAAGAGATGGTAAGGAGTAGGAAAGAGGTTGCTACGGAAACGTGTGCAAGACATTCTTCATCTGACAGTCCAGTTTCTAGAGTTGTATTTGGCCTTCTCACAAAGGACAGACTTGGGTTGATTCTGTTCCGCTCACATTCATAGTTAAGGCTAAAATAAATCTACATGAAAGGACAACTTGTTCTCAGTCACTAACCCTGCAGATTTTGTGTTCTCTCTTTTGGAGAGATAGTAGACTGATTGGAGTCAGGAGGTAGGCCTGTGGGATTTCATTTTTATAGCTCAGCTGATCTTGTATATGGGGAGAGATGGCTGGAAGCACACACCTTATAGTTTTATTCCTTTAATCCATTGTTTCTTTCTTTCTTTTTTTTTTTTTTGAGACAAGGTCTCACTCTGTTGCCCAGGCTAGAGCACAGTGGGACAATCACAGCTTACTGTAGCCTCAGCTTCTCGGGCCCAGGTGATCCTTATACCTCATCCTCCCCAGTGGCTGGGACTACAGGTGTGTGCCACCATGCCTGGCTACTTTTTATATTTTTTGTAGAAATGGGATTTCACCATCTGACCCAGGCTGGTCTCAAACTCCTGGGCTCAAGTGATCTGCCCGCATTGGCCTCCCAACGTGCTGGGATTACAGGTGTAAGCCACGGAGCCCGTTTCATGATTTATATGTACAGCCAGCCCTCTGTAGCTTCTGTATGTATGAATCCAATCAACCTTACATCAAAACATTTGTGAAAACAGGCCAGGCGTGGTGGCTCACGGGTATAATTCCAGTACTTTGGGAGGCTGAGGTGGGGAGACAACTTGAGGTCAGGAGTTCGAGACCAGCCTGGCCAACATGGTGAAACCCCATCCCTACTAAAAATACAAAAGCATTAGCTGGGCATGGTGGTGGGCACCTGTAATTGCAGCTACTTGGGAGGCTAAGGCAGGAGAATTGCTTGAACCCAGGAGGCGGAAGTTGCAGGGAGCTGAGATTGTACCATTGCACTCCAGCCTGGGCACAGAGAGAGACACCATCTCAAAAAAAAAAAAAAAAAAAAAAAATTGGGAAAACAAAAAATAACAATACAAAAATAATACAAATGAAAAGCAATACAGTATAGCAATGATTTGCATGGCATTTACATTGTATCAGGTATTATAAGTAATCTAGAGATGATTTAAAGTATATTAGAGGATGCACATATTTGATATGCAAATATTTCACCATTTTATTTAAGAGACTTGAGCATCCCGTTCTCTGATTATGGTGTCAGGGCATCCTGGAACCAGTTCCCTGAGGATACCATGGGACAACTGTATTTTGTCCTCCTGATGAAGAAAACAGCATCTCTATTCTTCCTTACCTGTCCTCTCCCCTGGTATCACTTCCTCTTGTGGGATCTCTGGGGTGTGTGCATGTTGGGAGGTAACTGTAGGTGGAGAAGAGAATGCAGAGAACAGAGATTGAGGTGGATGAGACTACACTGTGGAGCCCCTCCTAGGGATGTCCTCAGGATTAAGATGACACGTACAGAGTAGGGGCCACATACACTGCAGTGGATGGGAATTGTCTCAGCAGTAGCAGGAGCTGGCAGGATAGAAGTGTGGATTGTGAGTACCTAGAGGATGAGACGGCAGGCAGCTTTTCTGTGGAACTGAGAAGGACTCTGAAGAAACACCCAGGAAATAAAAGAGGGGGACCTTTGCCAGGGGCGGTGGCTCACATCTATGATCCCAGAACTTTGGAGGCTGAGGCAGGAGAATCACTTGAGGCCAAGAGGTTGAGACCAGCCTGGACAAAATAGCAAGACCTTGTCTCTACAAATAATTAAAATATTAGCCAGGCATAGTAGCATGTACTTGTAGTCCCAGCTACTTGGGAGGCTGAGGCAGGAGGTTCACTTGAGCCTGGGCAGTTGAGGCTGCAGTGAGCCAAGAGGGCCCCATTGCACTCCAGCCCGGGCGATAGTGAGACCCTGTCTCAAAAAAAAAAGATGGGCCGGGCCCTGTGACTCACGTCTGTTTTCCCAGCACTTTGGGAGGCTGAGGTGGGTGAATCACCAGGGAGTTCGAGACCAGCCTGGCCAAAAGGGTAAAACCCTGTCTCTATTAAAAATACAAAACATTAGCTGGGCATAGTGGTGAGCGGCTGTAATCCCAGCTACTCGGGAGGCTGAGGCAGGAGAATTGCTTGAACCTGGGTGGCAGAGGTTGCAGTGAGCCGAGATTGTGCCACTGCACTCCAGCCTGGGTGACAGAGTGAGACTCCGTCTCAAAAAAACAAGAAGATGTTTAAGGGGATGCTCAAGATAGGCAGAACTTTGCTGAGTTGTTCAGTTCCCTTCAAAAAAGGGAATCAGAGAAAAATGAAAATAGACTTTGACTCCTGTTACCTGTGTCTTCCCAAACACTTAAACTGAGCATGGTCCAGTTTTATCCCTCTCTTTACAGCCTAACTATTCTTTTTCAAAGGTATGTCCCCCCAGACCAAGTCAAGGGGCCCGCTTACACCAAAGGCAGTGCTTCCACCCCTGTGCAGGGCTCCATTCCAGAAGGGAAGCCCCTTCGGACACTTCTGGGTGATCCTGCACCATCTCTCTCAGCTGCTGCCTCCACCTCGAGCCAGGTAACTCTCAGATCTACTCTTCATGTTTCTGTTGATTTGGGAGACAAGAGCGTCCGTTTCCTGAATCAGATTCCCCAGACCTAGCACACAACAGTGCAGGAGCTGTGAGTTGGTTCTTGGTCCTGCTATTAACCTGTATCTTGTATTTATCACCTTCTGGACCTCATATCTTTTGGAAGTCAGAACCCAACAGGAAGTGGTATTTAGGGAAGTCAGAGTATCAGCTCCTATTCCATCAAAGAAACACAGAAGGAGCCAGGACACGGTGTCCAATACCTGGAAAAGTTGAGGAGTAACAGCCCCAGGGGCACTGTTGGGCAACATTCCTGTGTATCTCAGGGTTACCTTGGCTTATGTGCTATAAAATGCATGGTTCTTAGGCCAGGTGGGGTGGCTCACACCTGTAATCCCAGCACTGTGGGAGCCCAAGGTGGGTGGATCACCTGAGGTCAGGAGTTCAAGACCAGCCTGACCAACATGGAGAAACCTCATCTCCATTAAAAATACAAAATTAGCCAGGTGTGGTGGTGCATGCCTGTAATCCCAGCTACTCAGGAGGCTGAGGCAAGAGAATCACTTGAACCTGGGAGGCAGAGGTTGTGGTGAGCCAAGATCACACCTTTGCACTCCGGCCTGGGTAACAGAAGTGAAACTCCTAGCACATTGGTTAGGTGATGAAAGAGAAAATAAAAATGAAACTCCATCTAAAAAAACAAGTGTGGTTCTTGGAGCAGGTATACTGAGAAGATGAGGATGATATGAACTGTGAGAGGGGCTAAGGCAACTCTTGCCCAGGAAACTTCTAAGTTGAGGGCAGTTGCTTACTGTCTTCCCTCTGTACCTGCCTATCTGAGGGGAGCCAGGGGAAGGCCTGGGGTATGTCTGCGATTCTAAGGGGTATATGCAAATTCCTTTTCCTCCAAGTCTGTCACTCAGTCTCAGGCTCGGATATCCCAGGCCCGGAGCACTCAGCCACCTCCCCACTCCTCTGTCAAGAAAGCCAGTACTGATCTGCTGGCTGACATCGGTGGAGACCCCTTTGCTGCTCCCCACACGGCACCAGCTTTTGCTGCATTCCCTGCCTTTGGGGGTAAGTGGGACTTGGGATGGGACCCTCCCTATAGCATCTATACTTACAATACAAGAAATCCAGACCCTGGAGGAGACCATGGCTCTAGATCGCCTCATGCAAACAAATGTGAAGGTCACTCTGAAGCAGTGAGGCTGGGAGGATTGGGGTCAAGTGAATACAGCCGGGATTATGTTTGGGAGTTTGATCCTAAAACATTACAGTGAGGGCTCCTAGCACTTCGTTTTAGAACACTGGAGATAGCCTTTTTTATTTTCTCTATTAAAATGGGAGGAAGGGGATTATCATGTTCCATTTCCCCAAAGATTCTTCTTCACCAAAATCAGCAATAGCCAGTAGAGGGCTAAGCAGCGTAGAATGTGTTTTCCTTTTTTAAAAATTTTCAAGCTCTTTCCTCCATGAAAAAAAAATTTCATGCCCCCAACTAGGCCCTGACAAAAATATTAATGCCTCATGGAGTAAGGACAGAAGAGGGCAGGGAGTGAACCTGGAGGCCCTGAGTGCCCCTGCCTCCCTGTGTGGGTGTGGCTCTGGGCCCCAGGCCCCTCCCATTTCCCTCTGAAGAGGACCCTGTGGAAAGGCAGATGTCCCATAAGAGTGGCCTTTGGCCTTTAGAATTAGTAGATATATTACATAGATAAGCATATACATTTTCTTTTTTATATACATTTTCTTTTTTCTTTTCTTTTTTTTTTGAGACAGAGTCTTGTTTTGCCACCCAGGCTGGAGTAGAGTGGTGCAATCTTGGCTCACTGTACCTTCTACGTCCCAGGTTTCACCAATTCTTGTGCCTCAGACTCCCAGGTAGCTGGGATTACAGATGTCTACCACCACACCCAGCTAATTTTTGTATCTTTAGTAGAGATGGGGTTTCACCATGTTGGCCAGGCTAGTCTTGAACTCCTGACCTCAAGTGATCTGCCTGCCTCAGCCTCCCAAAGTGTTGGGATTACAGGTGTGAGCCACCACGCCTGACAATTTTCTATATAACCTTTATGTGTCTTTCACCTACAGGCCAGACACCTTCCCACGGGGGCTTTGCCAACTTTGATGCCTTCAGCAGTGGCCCCAGCTCTTCTGTGTTTGGAAGCCTCCCTCCGGCTGGTCAAGCTCCGTTCCAGGCCCAGCCAACTCCTGCAGGTAAACTCTGCCCCACTGGCTTCCTTTCTCTTCCAATCATGTCCAGTCGTTCACATCCATAAATCACCCTTCATTCACATCTTCACTATCCTAAAGAAGTGTGCAAAGCAGCAAAGCACAAAGCAGCAGCTCCAGGAGAGGATGAGAGTGTCCAACACGTGATTGTCAGGGAGAGGGGGTCTACTGTTCTGCTTTTTCATGCAAGGAAAATAACCAAGATTGCAGCAGGAATTGTGTGGGTTATACACTAGGAAGCTTCTCACTAGGAAGTATGGAAGACCTGAGTCCTAGAAAAACTGAAGATGGATGTGACTTTTTCTCTAAGATGCTCTTGTCTGCATAGTACACTGACCCAAAGGGTCAAGGGTCAAGATAGTCTCCAGAAGTCCTCATCCATCCCTCTAAGACCAAAGGCCGGTAAACTCTATGTTGCTGCAGCCACAATGGCTCACGCCTGTAATTCCAACACTTTGGGAGGCTGAGGTGGGAGGATTATTTGAGCCCAGGAGTTCGAGGCTGCAGTAAGTGATTATTGTGCCATTGCACTCCAGCCTGGGTGACAGAGCGAGACCCTGTCTCAAAACAGATGAACAGACAAACCCCAAAAATATGTTATTTAGCCATTGAAGAGACTGTGCAGGCCTTCTGAAAGCATTCTGCTCCTTCCTAAGCTCTAGACGTCGAGTCTTCATAGCATTTGTGCTGCCTTCTGCCTTTTGACATCCTGGACACATGGGAGGATGCTTCAGTGTTCCCTATCAGGCCCAGATGTCTGGGAAAATCCAGTGATGTACATTTTCTTTCTCCCTTCCTCTACCCATCCTTCTCTTCTCCACCCTCACTGTCAGCCAGTCAGATGCTAACTGAACGTTACAGCTTTGGTAAGTTATTCTCCCCACTCCAGAGCCTACCCAAGCACCTCTGATCATAGAGTTTTGAGGGCTGGAAGGAACCCTTACAAATTGGCCATCTGACAGATGAGGCTATTAAGCAGTTTCCCTAGTCATGCAGCCCACAGAGTGATTGAGCTGAGCCCAGAGCCCAGACTTCTTAACTCATGCTCTGCCCACAGCCTTCTCACTGTGCCACTATGAGCTGATTAGCTGCTTTTGTTTTTATCTTATTTTATTGTTTTGGAGGGGGGACAAGAAGAAACATTTTATGTTGATAAAAGTTGGCTGGGCATGGTGGCTCACACTTGTTATCCCAACACTTTGGGAGGCCCAGGCAGGCGGATCACCTGAGATCAGGAGTTCAAGACCAGCCTGGCCAATATGGTGAAACCCTATCCCTACTAAAAATACAAAAATTAGCCAGGTATGGTGGCGCACACATGTAATCCCGGCTACTCGGGAGGCTGAGGCAGGAACATCTCTTGAACCTGGGAGGCAGAGGCTGGAGTGAGCTGAGATCAAGCCACTGCACTCCAGCCTAAGAGACAGAGTGAGACTGTCTCAAAACAAACAAACAAACAAAAACCATATACTTAAAATAACTAATCATATACCTGTGAGATTCATGAAGCAAAAACTGTTAGACACAATCAGAATTTAATAAGCCAATGGAATAGGAGACTGTAATATGCTTTCCCACATGATTAACAGACAGATAAGAAACTATAGGAAGCAAAATCTCCATAAATTCTAACAAATAGAAATCACATAGGTCACATTCTGGTTTTTGTTGCTGTTTTTGTTTTTGTGTGTGTGTGTGTGTGGTTTTTTTTTGAGACGGAGTTTCACTCTTGTTACCTAGGCTGGAGTGCAATGGCGCGATCTCGGCTCACCGCAACCTCCGCCTCCTGGGTTCAAGCAATTCTCCTGCCTCAGCCTCCTGAGTAGCTGGGACTACAGGCATGCGCCACCATGCCCAGCTAACTTTTTGTATTTTTATAGGAGACGGGGTTTCACCATGTTGACCAGGATGGTCTCAATCTCTTGACCTTGTGATCCACCCGCCTTGGCCTCCCAAAGTGCTGGGATTACAGGCTTGAGCCACCGCGCCCGGCCTTTTGTGTGTGTTTTTTGAGACAGAGTTTTACTCTGTTGCCCAGGCTGGAGTGCAGTGGGATGAACAGTCTCAGCTCACTGCAATCTCTACCTTCCGGGTTCAAGCGATTCTCCTGCCTCAGCCTCCTGGTAGCTGGGATTACATGCACATACCTAACTAATTTTTTGTATTTTCAGTAGAGATGGGGTTTCACCATGTTGGCCAGGCTGGTCTCAAACTCCTGACCTCAAGTAATCCGCCTGCCTTGGCCTCCCAAAGTGCTGGGATTACAAGTGTAGGCCACTGTGCCTGGCCATAGGTCACATTCTGTATGATAAAAGATGACCTAAACAGAGCTTAAAGGCATGAAACAGATGGGAAAAGATACAACATGGAAAACAGAAGTTAGTATCCATAAAGTATTTTTAAAACTTCTGTGAATATGAAAATAGAATAATGGATAAGGGTAACACCCAGAAAAAAAATATGAAAATAGGCTGGGCTTGGTGGCTCACACCTGTAATCTCAGCACTTTGGGAGGCTGAGGCATGTGGATCACCTGAGGTCAGGAGTTCAAGACCATCCTTGCCAACAAACGTGGTGAAACCCTGTCTCTATTAAAAATACAAAATTAGCCAGGCGTGGTGGAAGGCACCTGTGATCCCAGCTACTTGTGAGGCTGAGGCAGGAGAATGGCTTGAACCCAAAACACGGAGATTACAGTGAGCCTAGATTGCACCATTGCACTCAAGCCTGAGTGATGAGAGTGAAATTCTGTCTTAAAAAAAAAAAAGGAAAAATATTCTCAACCTAACCAGAGAAATGCAAACTAGGATAAGATAGCTTTGCACATCATATTGGCAAAAGTTTTAAAGATTGATAATGGCCAGTATTATGTAGGGAAAAGGACCTTCTGTGGGCTGTTGGCAGAAGTGTAAATTGGTGCAAGAATATCCAGTTTAGTAAGAAAAGTGTGCTCCTAGGAATGGGAGCACTTGAGGAAACAGCCTGTGTAAAGTTGTCATAGATGGGTCCCTTCTGAAATGCCTTCCCAGCAAAACTGATTGCTCTAAAGACAGAGTTTTTGAGGCAGACTCAAGAGAAGGAAAGCCTCAGCCCCACAGATGTCCCAAGGATTAAACCTTTCGTCCACTATCTGGCTGTCTCAAAAAGCAGTTGCTGGACGCGGTGGCACATGCCTGTAATCCCAGCACTTTGGGAGGCTGAGACCGGTGTATCACTTGAGGTTAGAAGTTTGAAACCAGCCTGGCCGACGTGGCGAAACTCCCTCTCTGCCAAAATACAAAAATTAGCAGGGCATGGTGGTGCACACCTGTAATTCCAGCTACTGAGAGGCTAAGGTAGCAGTGAGCAGAGACTGTACCACTGCACTCTAACCTGGCTACAGAGCAAGACTGTCTCAAATAAAACAAAACAAAACAACAAAAACAGTCAATCTACAGCCAAACCCAGAGCCAACGAACATTTACGAGGATCCTGACATCACTGGGCACTTTTGTGCATTATGTCCATGAGAAAAGAAAGAGCCTCCCTTTGCAGGAAACTAGCTCAACTTGGCCCAGATCTAATGCTGTTAAGTGGCAGAACCCCTTCCCACCACACCATGATCATGCAGGTGTTCCTTGTGAGTGTGACTTAGCTATTGGGTGTGAACTGAGAGAGGAGATTTTGAGAGGTGGGTGTCTCTTCTGACAAGCTTTCTTTATTTTTATATTTCTGAGGGGGAGTATGGATAGAGGGGAGGTTTTCAAAACTGCTTCTTTCCCTCAAACTGCATTAAAGCATGGTAGAAATCTAGCTACGTGGTATAAGAAGTGCATGAGAGCCAGGTGTGGTGGCTCATGCCCGTAATCGCATTACTTTGGGAGGCTGAGGTAGGCAGATCACTTGAGCTCACAAGTTCGAGACAAGCCTGGGCAATATAGCAAAACCTCATCTCTACCCAAAATGCAAATAATTAGCTAGGCATGGTAGTGTGAGCCTGTAGTCCCAGCTACTCAGGAGGCTGAGGTGGGAGAATCAGCTGAGCCCTGAAGGTCAAGGCTACAGTGAGCCGAGATCGTGCTACTGCACTCCAGCCTCAGCAACCGGAATGAGACACTGTCTCAACAACAACAGAAAAGAAGTGCATGAAATGAAAAGCAAACAGGAGCGCAGGTGTCCCTTGGTCCACCGCCTCCTTTGTGAGAATGCAACCTCTGTGCGAAGGGCCAATGTCGCCTGGGCTAGGGACTGTTCTGCCCCCTAGTGTCCACAGAGAGAAACAGCATGGCTTGCAGCCTTGGAGAAGCAGCCTCTCTTCCCAGCCTGGTTCTCACTAGAGGAAACTCCTGGAACTTGAAGGACCACAGCAGTACGAAAAGTCAGCCATCCGAGGAGAGGGCGCCGTGCTCACATGGAAATTCCACACACCGTACTCAGAGGCAGGCAAGCAAGGAAAGGCCTTGGCGGGGAGAGTCAGTAGAAGATCCAGTACCACACGGCTGGCTTTTTTTCAGAGTCTTCCTCTGTTGCCCAGGCTGGAGTGCAGCGGCTCGATCTTGGCTTACTGCAATCTCCCTCTTCTAGGTTCAAGTGATTCTAGTGCCTCAGCCTCTCGATTGCCTGGGATTACAGGCATGTGCTGATTTTCATGCTTTTAAGTAGAGACAGGGTTTTGCCATGTTGGCCAGGCTGGTCTTGAACTCCTGACTTCAAGCGATCTGTTTGCCTCAGCCTCCCAAAGTGCCGGGACTGCAGGCGTGAGCCACTGGCCCCAGCCCCACCCATTTGGCTTTCTAGACTGACTTACATCCTGTGGATTAGAAAGGATTGGTGACCAAGTATACACAGTGGCATTGTATCCTTGCCCAGGAGGAAGCTGGCAGCCAGCACTTGTTCATCTAGAAAGCCCAGGCATTTAGGAAAGAGGTGGAAACACGAGCACTGTCTTACAAGCACTGACACTCAGAGGGAGTGGGGCTTTGGGACCTGGCAGCAGGTAGGCACTGGGCACTTCAGCTCCCCTGCTAGATTCTCAGCTACTCCAACTTAGGGCCTGGGTCACTGTTATTTATGCATAGTGCGTGGCACGTGGTAGATTCTCTCTCCCCCCACCCCCAACTTTTTTTGGGACGGAGTTTCACTCTTGTTGCCCACGGTGGAGTGCAATGGCACGACCTCAGCTCACTGCAACCTCTGCCTCCCAGGTTCAAGCAATTCTCCTGCCTTAGCCTCCCGAGTAGCTAGGATTACAGGCGCCCACTACCATGCTTGGCTAATTTTTGTATTTTTAGTAGAGATGGGGTTTCACCATGTTGACCAGGCTGGTCTTGAACTCCTGACCTCAGTCTACTCACCTCAGCCTCTGAAAGTGCTAGGATTCCAGGTGTGAGCCACCGTGTCTGACCAATAAAGCCTTTTTCCATCTGGGCTCTCCTTTTACATTCACAACAGCCCAGAATGGTCAACAGGGTCCCAAGATAGAGAGGAGACTTTGATGCCCAGAGAGGAGGCTTTCTTAAAATGACAGGGACTGGGTGTCTTCCCCTGAGACAAGATTGCCTGGAATTTTCCAGACTCTTGGCCCTCAGCTGTTTTGTAAGATTTCCACGTGGGCCTTGCCCTCTGTGCTTTTTCTTTTTGGCTGTGAAGAGGAGGGAAGGCTGGAGAACCCGGCAGCAGGGCTGGCCCTGAGCAGTGTGTCCAGGCTCAGGGCATTAGGGTGGCCTCCCGAGAGGAGGTGGCTGAATGGGGAAGGGACAGTGCTGAAGGCTGCACAGGCCAGGAACCTCCTGAGTGTGATGGGACTTGCTGTCCTCCATGGCACCTCTGCCTGCCCCTCCCTGCCACGTTCTGATAGATAGAAATTCGGGTTGAAGAAAGAACAGGCTTTTCCATCTCTTGAGGGAAAAGTGGGACATGAAAGGCAAACTGGAGCAGGAGGAGGACAGCCTGACCCGAGGATGAGCTGCTCTCCTCTCCGAAGTGCAGCTTTGAGCACAGGGGACATGGAGAAGGGCTGGGCTGTCACCTTGCCCAGAACTCTCTGTGGGAGACAAGACCTCCTGAACTGGGTGGTCCCTGGGAAAATGGGCTGGCTCAGAGAACCCAGCGGGTGCCTGTCATGCCGCGACTCCACTTCTCCACCACCACCTGCATCTCCTCTCCTGCCCCTCCCTCCCTGTCTCAGCCCTTCCTATTGTATTTCCTACGACTACCCAGGGACTCTGTTCGGTGCCACTCCCCTGGCACCCGCCAGTCAGCCAAACACCCTCGCGGATGTGGGCAGCTTCCTGGGACCCGGAATGCCAGCTGCAAGTGTTCCTAGCAGGTAGGTATGGACATCAGGCAGTCTTCCTTAGGGCAGGAGAGCTGCCTGAAGCCTGGCCTTGCCCCTCCCAGCCCCACTGGCATCTCCTGGCCACTCTCCCCTCTCCTCCCCTTCCTTGGTCAACCTGGAGAGCAGGGTGGGTTGGGGTCTCCTGGCTCCTTGCTCAGGTTTGATCGGCTCTGGCAGCTGGGCATGACTTCTCTCTCTGTGTTACAGCCTCTTTGGGATGGCTGGCCAGGTCACCCCGCTCCAGTCTGCCACGACGGGCGGCAGCGGCAGCACAGGGCTGGCCTTTGGAGGTGAGTCCTGCCTGTAGAGTTCCAGGGGAGGGAGCCTGAGACCAGGAGGAGCCTGGGGACTCTGGACTGCGTGGGAAAGGGAGAGATTAAGAGGAATGCTCAGGCATCACAGGATGAAGCACATGAGAAAAAAAAAATAACCATCTCTCTGTCCCGCCACTCCCCATTCCACTTGGGCAGCCTTCACCAACCCTTTCGCAGCCCCTACCACGCAGCCCCCGCTGGCTTCCACCAACCCGTTCCAGCCCAACGGCTTGACGCCAGGTAAGCCTCCAGCATGGTCCCTTGCCCTGACCATCTGAGACTCCCAGGGTGCACACTACCCTGCAGCCTCTCCCTTAACCCTTCGTCTTATGCTGTTAGGAGAAGCAGACAGCCTGGTCCTTCCCCTGCCCACACGGTGCCAGGCCCCTGAGCACCCAGGTCACAGAGCCAGATTTTAGAATTAGAAGCACACAGGCAGCTACTTACTGGAGATGGCATTGAAGACTGTTTTAAAGTTGCAGTGGCAATGAATCTCCTCTCTCCAGCCCTCAGCAGTGTCCCTTCAGGCACCCATCCTCAGTCCCTTTTGTGCCCTGAAGCTTAAGCCACCTAAAACATTCACGCTATTCCTGGCTTCCATCAGCTTCAGGCTCTTTCACCCTGGCCCTTCCCAGCCTCTGCTGCTCTCCCTGCAGCCTCGTGCTGGCTGAAACCTCACGGCCAGAGAGAGAGGAATAAGAGCGAGCACAGCAGAGCTGTGTGGTGGGCCCGCTGCTGAGGGCTTCATGGCCCTGATTTAATCTTCACAGCAGCCCTAGGAGATGGACTGTCCCCATTTTAGAGTTGAGAAAACTGAGGCATTGACAGCATTAGAAGTTTGCGCCATTTTTGCAGTTTAGCAGGTAGTGGGAGGCTGGCCCAGTCCTGTACCATGCCCGTTCCTGGAACCACTGTGCCCCACGTGCCCACAGAGCAGGGAGACGGCAGGGTCGTTTGGTGGTGTGAGAAGCAAAAGAGTTCTATGGCTGGTTAAGGGTATTTCCGCTGGGTACCTCCTGTCAGGGGAAAACTATATCCCACTTTCCCATCTTGGAGGGACTTAGGAAAAACAGTTCTCCAGCTCACCTTCCAGTAGTTTGCCTGAGCCGCCTGTCTCTCATTCCATAGGGCCTAGCTTTGGGATGAGCAGTGGTGGACCTGGCTTCCCCCAGGCGATGCCACCCACCGGGCCCTTTGCCAGCTCCTTCCCAGCACCGCTGTTCCCCCCACAGACCCCGCTGACTCAGCAGCAGAATGGTAAGAGTTGCAGAGGTACAGGCCCCTTTCACCCCATCCCCTCTCTGCATAGAGATCGGTGGTCCCTTGGACCTCATCAGAGCCCTTGCAGTGCTCCTTCTGACCAGCAGGGGGCGGGGACTAGAGAAACACCAGACTTTGACCGGGGAACTACCACTACTCCATTCCCTTACTCCTGAAATTTATTAGCAAGGTGCCCCCTTGCTGTCCGCCTGCAGGAAAGCGGGCTGGTGTCAGCTGTGTTACTGCTTTTGGACCCCCAGGCTCTTCCTTCGGGGGCTTAGGATCAGCCAAGTTGGGGCAGAGGCCACTGGGCCAGCCAGCTGGGATGTCCACCAACCCCTTCATGGTGAGTGCCTCAGCAGGGGTGCTGTGGTGTGGGTCGTGGGCTTTCCCTCTGGGACAGTACTTCCAAAAGAGGCTGATGTGAGGTGGCCCCCCCTGCTCCTTCCTCATGTAAGTCTGTGTTGTCCAAGCCAGGGCTGAGCTTAGGCCTCAGCTTTTTTTTTTTTTTTTTTTGAGACAGTCTTGCTCTGTCTCCCAGGCTACAGTTCAGTGGCCTGATTTTGGCTCATTGCAACCTCCCCCTCCTGGGTTCAGGCAGTTCTCCTGCCTCAGCCTCCTGAGTAGCAGGGACTACAGGTGTGCACCACCACACCCAGCTAATTTTTACATTTTTAGTAGAGATGGGATTTTCCCATGTTGGCCAGGCTGGTCTTGAAATCCTGACCTCAGGTGATCAGCCTGCCTCAGTCTCCCAAAGTGCTGGGATTACAGGTGTGAGCCACCACCCCGGCCTCTTCTCTCACACTTTCCCACTACCCTCAGCACAGCAATTTTTTAAGAGAAAAGACTCCTGGCTGCCTTTCTTCTTGGCTTCCAGCTCTACTCCCCTAACCGGAAAATGTGTTGTTCTTTCTTTCCAGACTGGACCCTCATCAAGCCCGTTCGCCTCCAAGCCTCCAACCACCAACCCCTTCTTGTAGCACTGTGTTTTTTAGGGGGCCTCTTCCCTGCCTTCTGGGGTCCCTCTGCTCCCTAGAGCTCTCATGACCATTTGCCTGTGGGCGTTTCTGTGGGCCTTGGGGATAATGGAGGTGCTAATGCTTTGCTTGGGGCCTGCAGGTGAAAGGTAGCTGTCCTCAGATTCCACAAGGCCTCTGCCCCTCCCTTCTCCCACCCCCACCCAAGCAGGAAGCCCAGGAGGAGTGGGGGCAGGGCCTGGCCGGGAGGAGTGATGGGGGGATTTTTTTCAAACGATCAGTTAGAGTAGCCCTCCTCCTCCCCTGCCATCGCAGCACTGTGCTCCCCTGCTCCCAGTCCTGTGGGCAGAAGATGTTGTGGACACAGACTGGCCAGCCTTCCCCTGTGGGAATAGCTCTTCCCTGGGCCCCTGTGCTCCTTGTGGATGGGAGCTCAGTGGGGAGGGTGGGGGAAAGACGAGACACTATTGATGGGGCAGTGACCAGACAGTACTGAGACCCAGAAGGCCTGGGTGGCCCAAGTGCTCTTGGTGGCCCAGCTTGGCCAGCACACCCTTTCCTCCTGTCCCCACCCCCTACTGAAGGGGTCCCCCATTGTTTTGCTTCCCCAGCGCCCCTCCCTCATCCTGGGCGTCCGGGATGAGCAGTTTACCTTCGAACTCACCCAGGCCCGGCAGTCCTGTCAAGCACTTTAGTTAGCCGTTGGTGTCATGTTTGGATACCAGTGTTTTATATTTATATAGAGAGAAGATTTTCTAATATAGCCTATTATATATAAATAGATCTATCTATATGCACATACATACATATATATATATACACACCCAGCCGATCTCCCTCTCCCAGACAGCTCTTGTATGTGGGAAATGGGATGAATCCCCATCTGTGCCTCGACCATCAAAGCCAGAGCTCCATGGCTGGAGGGGGGCAGCCATGTGTCTGGGCCCCCACCAGCCCCAGAGCCTGGGTTTTCCAGGGAAAGGCTTTGTGCAATTGCCTGGTCTTTTTTGTTTTTCTCCACGTGCCTCCCCTGTCCCCAGATCTCTGCACCAAAGCTCATTGCAGGTAATGCTGGAAAATAACTGCATTTGAACGAAAGAGAAAACGGCTCTCATGGTTTTGCTTCGGGCCAGTTTGAGGGGCTGCAGGTCAGTCAACATGACGGATCCTTGACCTGGCTCTGCTGGGTTGGACTGCCTGGGCCAGTGATGTCGCTGCCATTGACCAGAGACAGGGCAGAGCCAGTCCCTGTCTGGACCAGAGTCCTGCATTAGCAATGGGAAGAAGCGTGGCAGGAGAGGGGCCGCCACTGCCGGGGACTGGAGTTTGATGTGAGTGGGCGTGCCCACTGGGGCCAGGGTGGGCAAAGGAGGTTGGTGCCAGTGTGGAGGTGGAAGTAGACCCCTCCTGGGCCTGGGACATTCTCTGCCCCGGGCTCTTTCCACCTGAGAATGTTGTGGCAACAGCCACGGTGCCTGGGCTATTTGTGTGGTGACAAGACAGATCTGGTCAGGGGTGGGTGGCAAATACCTCACCTGACTGGGCAGAGGCCACCTTGCTGTTTGGCCCAAGGCCAGGAGAGGCCCCTCCCTTTCCACCATTGCCCTGGCCCCGTGGCCGTTCATTCTTGAGGTTTGGGTCTTCTACGGAGAGAGAGCAGCAAGGAGATGTGGGAATTGGGTAATTGGAGTATTTACTTTGCAGATTTTTCGGGAAATACCTCTAGCTGCTGCTATTTGCAGGGCCGGCCATGGCCTCCATGTCTTTTCTGAGAATCAGCACCCGGCCTGTCTGTTCCTATTCTCCTAGCCTCTGCCCTCCTTCGGTCTCCTGGGTGGTCCCCTGGGTCCCCCAGCATACTTCGCTCTCCGGCCTTTGTGTGTTCCAGCTCTTCTCCTCCTCTGCCACCCTAGGTTAGTATCTCTGTGTACCTCGACCTCATCCTCTTACCAGTTCTTTCTGCTTAGAGCAGGAGGGAGGGAAGCTGTAATCTGTTGTGGTGTGTTAGGAGGAGCCTTTCTGTTCTTTCCCCCCAGCCTCCGTCAAGCTACCCTTAAGCCAGGAACACTGAGCTTTGGAACTGAGGCCGAACCAAAGGGCCTTCCCCTGTTTCCATCACCCATGCTGTCTCCCGGCGTCTCCTCGCTGTCTGGGTCCAGTCCCGGATCCTCCCTGCAGACTCCCTCCCCTCTGTCCCACAAAGATTCCAGCCTGCTCACTGGCCAGAGCCAGGTGACCAGTCGGAAGTTACACCAGGTTAGCCTGAGGCCCCGGTTTCCCTGGGCACAGGCTGACACTAGGAGCTGCCCTCCTTGGCCGCGGACAGCCCAGCACCTCAGGCTCCAGCCCTCCAATGAGCTGTCTCTCCTGGAGAGTAGCAAAGAATGGAGAAGCCCTGGCCTGATAGGAAAGGTAGAAATCATTGCCTGGCAGCTGCAAATTCAAGCCCAACGTACACACCACAGGGCTGGAGTGACTCGCCTGGGCTCACGCCAGACTTCTAGCCAACTCAGGTACCATGCTCTGCAGACAGCAGTCCTCTAGCATGGCCCCAGCATTCAGCCAGTCACCTGCGGGCCATCCCTCTGGGTGAGGAAGCAGGAGCCAGCCCCCAGGGGTCTCCACGTTGGAGCTTCCAGGTCAGACCTGCAGGCCAGGGGATGGAGCAGGGCTGAGGGTAGGGGCTGAATGTGTGGCTCTGTTCCTGCATCACCTTCCACAGAGGAGCAAGGGCTCCGACTGGGGAGGGAAAGGCACGCTGGAACAGCCTAGTTTCCCCCATGAATCCCCCCAACCCCATGACATTCCTCCACAGCAGCAGAGAACACAGTGACCTGTCCCTAACAGGGATGAAAGGTGGACCCCTCAGGTAGGGAGAGGCAGAGCCGAGGTTCTGCCACTTTCTGTCCCTGGGGAGTCACTCAAGTTACCAGGGCTACCGGCTGAAATAAATCTTGTTGGGGTAGGGCTGCAGAGGGCAGCATGTTGCCAGGGCAACTAATGTAGGCCAGTTGCGTCAGTCCAGGCTTGTCCTGGTACTCAGTGGGCCCAGTCACCAGGCACTGATCACCTGGCATTGATCAGCACCCACCCCTGAGGCTTACCCGGGCCCTCAGATCCCTGCCTTTCCTGCCTGTGCACACCCAGCACCCAAGGTTCAGTGACACAGTGGTTTGGAGCTGTTTGCTGTCACAGCAGCTGTGATTTTACAAGGAAGGGTGCTGCAGGCGGACTTGGTTGATGGGGATTGGGAAGGGCAAGCCATAAAGAGATCTTCCTTGGGTAGCTTCAAGCCTTGGGGAGTCAAAAAGTCTCCTGGGATGGGAGTGCAGCAGGGACAGGGGCCCTTTGGTGGCCTGCTCCTTGAGGCAGCAGCAAAACTGGGAGGGGGAGGGGTGTGCACGTGATATCATTTGTGTCCCTGCCCCTTTGTACATACATGGTGCCTGTATCAAGGCCCTTGGCCACATGGGGCTATGGCCTTGAACACAGCCTGGTTTTGGTGGCCACTTACAGAGCTATTGCCTCTCCCGGGCTAATACCCACCACTGGGCGGTAGCCAAGCCCTGTCCCATGCCCCCCACCACCCCGCACCACCTGAACTTTGAGGCTCTTCTGCACCCCAGTGGGGCTTTGGCTAACCAGGTTCACCTGGAGCAGACCCTGGGTCCCACCTACCTGCTGACTGGGTGCTGGCTGCTTCCCTGCATCTCTCTCTCAACGTGACCTTTGAAAAGGTGTGCCAGGACCCCAGCTCCATGCACAAGGCACTCGGCTCCTGTATTCCCACTCACACCGGGTCCCTTCCCCAGGAGGCAAGAAGCGTGGTGGGAAGCCCTGCCCACCCTGCTCAGCCTGCCCTGGCCCTTGGACTAGGTCTGGGTCCTTGCTTCTGTTCTCCTTATGTCTTTGTCGTATCTTGCCCCTTCCCTGGGGGAGCGCCTCCCTGAATGCCATCTTTACTGGGGCTGCATGTTGGTCTCGCCTCCCTGACTCTCAGCTTCCTCCTTTAGGCACCTTACTTACCTTGGGTGATATCCCAGGGTCCTCTAAGATACTACCAGGTCACCTGCTGGTTTGTCTTGTGCACTTTCACCCCCATTCCAGTGGGGGTCAGTGGTCCTTGGATCAGAACTGAGTGCAACAATGTTCAATCCCCAGCCCAGTCGCAATTTTTCCAAGAAGGAAAGGGCACCTCCACCAGGAAGTCCACGGTCAGAGCCTTCAGGTGGTCCCAGGGTGGCGTTTTTGGGCAGAGCATTTGGTGGTGAGGAGGGGCCCAGAGAAATGGGGTAGTCTGAGAGGGTCTTGCGAGATGGCCTCTTCCTCTGAGGTCTCCTTCAGCGGCCATTTGACTGGGTTCCAGCGGGTATAGGCTGTGCACAGGGATTACCCCTTAAGCTTATTCCAAGACACCTATCACCCCAAACCTTCAAGAAACTGAATCTCCAGCTTAGAGATAATCACATGCAGTGCTTAGCCACGGTGGCTCCTAGGGTTACTTGGAAGGACACAAGACCACTCCTGGACGGGAAGGGGGTACATGAGGGAAGAATATCTATAGACCAAGGTGGGTGCAGCAAGAGCCAGCAGGGTGCACGGAGGCCCCTGCTGCATAGGGACCCTGCTACGCCACCCTCTAATAGCCCACGCCACCACTGCTGCCACAAATCCAATCACACTGGCCTCACACCAAGGCTTTCTCGGTTGCCCCGACGTCCCTGTTGCAGTCAGCTAATTTGTAGAGATGCCCCCACGCTCCCTAATCCTATAAAGGCTCAGTCTCGGGGTTGAAGCCGCCTCTCCTGGACCTCCCTACTCAAATTCCAGCGCCAGGGTACCTGAGGTTTAGCCTCGTGGAGTGGAGGTTACGGAGTGGTGGGTCCAGGCCACGGGCAGCAACCACCGGGACACCAGCTGTGTGCGGAGCCCTTGCCCCAAACTCAGTCGGGAGCCCGGGAGAGGCGCTGGGCATCAAGACGGGTGGCAGCCTGCCTAGCTGCTGCTCCCAGTCCACCGGGTTTGCCACTTCACCCCCACCCCTACTGGCCTCTCCCCGCGCCCAGGACGGGAAACACAGCCATCTCTACCCTTCCTGTGGCTACTTTACTGCCTTCGAGCCTGGATGAAGCCTGCAGGCGGTGGCCCCGGGGCAAGCCCGGAGTCCCAATAGGCGGCTGTGCCCCTCAGCCCGCCGCTGCCCTGGGCCTGCCTGGCCGATGTCCGGTTCTGCGGCCACTTGCGCACAGACCGGCCGCGTCCCGAGTATTCCGAGAGCGAGCAGAAGCTCAGAGTGTTCCGAGCGCGGCCTCAGCGCAGCCTGAGCCCGGCGGGCGCGTGCACTACCAGCAAGTGCGCAGATGCACGCCAGCGCCGCGTGATCGTCTACACCCGCGACAGCAGCCTGTGCGTAGCTGCAGCCAGCGAGGCGGAGGAGCAGGCGTGGTACAACGCCCTGCTCGAGGCACTAGGCGCCGCCAGTGAGGCCGGAGCCTGGGGCTGCCAGAGCCTCCGGGCGCTTGTGGCTGTGGTTTCTCTGAGGCTCGCCCCTCCCCCAGGTCACCGAAAGTTCAAACATTAAAGGATTTGCAGGTTTAGAGTTCTCCCGCATAGGCCAGGCGCCGCGACTCACGTCGGTAATCTCAGCACTTTGGGAGGCCGAGGCGGGCATATCGCCTGAAGTCAAGAGTTGAAGACTAGCCTGGCCAACATGGCGAATCCCAGTTTCTACTAAAAATACAAAAATTAACCGGGTGTGGTGGCGGGCGCCTGTAATCCCAGCTGCTCGGGAGGCTGAGGCGTAAGATTCGTTTGTAAAGGGCAAGCGGAGGTTGCAGTGAGCCAAGATGGCGCCACTAGACTCCTGGCTAACAGCTGGATCCTCGCTCCGTTCCAGGTGGTCTGGCTCCTGACGCTGCGGCCCAAGTTGCTGGGTGGCGGCTACCGCCTGTGCTTGGGCTCCACGGCAGAGGTTCCCTGGATGCCCGGCACCTGCCCCTGCTCAGTGAGCGGGGCTGCAGCCACAGGGACTGTCTTCTTCCTGGAGCTCGGTTGCTCGGCCACTCCGGGGGAGCTGTGGCTGCAGAAGCCCGACACGTGGCTATGGCCCAAAGCATTCACGAGACCATCCTGGTGGCCATAAAGTGACTCGGGGTCGGTGGAGTCGCTGGCAGAGCTGAGTCACTGCCCAGAGACCATGCGATGAGCGCCTTCAGACTCCCTGTCCCCCATCCCTGAGACCTCGGCTTTTGCGGGCTAGTCAAGTGGCCTGAGCCATTGGGGGTGTCTGGGAGAGGGAACCCAGCAAGCAGTCCTGAAGATCTTGGCAAAGCTGTGAGGGGCAACCTTGTACCCCAAGGGGCGGGGTGGGGGCTACATAACCAAGGGAGTGGGTAGTGACTACAAGCCCACAGGAACTATCCCTACAAGTCCGAGTTGGGGAGTTTGGACCCAGGCCCAGGGGCGCCCATCGTGATGCAGGGGGTGGCTGGGGACGGGTGGGGGCTCAGCACTGCTCCTATCCCGCTTCGAGCTGGCTGGGGAGTTAAGTGTGCATCAAATTTGCAGCCCCGGAGAGCCTGGGAACATGTACCACCAGGCTGGAGCCCCTGACAGCTGCCTCAGTTACGTGGACCTGGACCTGGTCCCTTCTCTGGGGGCACTCTGCGAAGTCCCCGGGGCCCTGAACACTCTGCCTGCACAGCTACACGGCATTGCATTCTAAAGCTCCTGGGAGGCACCAGTGAGGAGACCTGAGACCTGGGTATCTCTCCCGCTGACTGATGTTGAGGGTTGACAGAAAGACGGGACGGAAGGGCACTGTAATGTCCCCCCACAACTCCCCATCATGGGAGGGGCTCTAAGGCCCAGATGCCACCTAGGACATGTGACCGGCAGGGCAACAAGCTGGGGCCTGTGCCCCTTCTGTCCCTTCCAGCTGTGGCTCCTAAGTCTTGAGTAGGAGGTTCTCCAAGAAGTTGGGACTATTTTATGGGAGAAAATTCTAGAACCCATCCCTGCCCAAACCACTGAAACGACCCACTTCTGGGCTTTCTCAGCTGAAGCCCTGGTCCTCTCTGTTTCCCTGCAGAGTTGGTGCAAGAATCTTGGGTCTGAGGTCGGCTGTGGCAGGGCTGCTTTCCACCAATGATGACATTCACGTGTACCGTCACCCTCCCCCACACACCTGCAGTGCATTCTTTGGCCTCCTCTGAGCCAAACAACCACCCCACCCAGCCAAGAACTGAACTCCCAGGGCCCCAGCACAAGAGGTGTGGGAGTGCCAGAGATCTTACTGCCAGTGTGCCCTAAAAGTGAGTTGCCCCTACTTCCCCGCCTGGCAGTTTAAGACTCCTTGCTTCCTATACAATCAGCCCTGCACTGCCATGCAGACCACCCACCCACTCATTAAAGGGGCTCTGCCCGGTTAGCCCAGAAACAACTTAGGTCATGGATACCCCTGCCCTCCACCTAACACAGCAGGGGGTGGCCTGCAGTGGGACAGAAAGAGACCCCACTCCTGCTTCTATGCCCTCCTCTGCTCCTGGCCACACAGAGCCTGTTTTGCAAACCAACACTTTTATTGTCAACACAACCAGCCCACCCTGCTCCAAGAAGGCTATGAACAGTGGGCGTCTGGGGTCTGTGGGAGAGAGGGGTCAGCACTGTGAGAACTGCTGGGGCCACCACAGGGACTGGTTGGGTCAGAGGCAGGGTCTGGGGGGCCAGCAGTGGGTGTGGCAGCCACAGAGGAGCTGGGCCTGGGCTCCCCCTGGCTCATCTGCAGCAGGCCAGTGAGAGCTATCAGCTCTGGCCCACTGAGCAAGGCGGTGGAGCGGCCTGGGGAGGGCGACAGGCTGGGGAAGACCCAGGGGGACATTATTGGGGGTGGCGGCAGCAGCTTCAGGGAGCCCATCACCTGAGGAGAGAGAATGGGATGTGTTTCTTGCCAGGCCTGCCTGGAGGCTGGGGTGAGGCCAGGGAGGGGAAAGGGCTCTCACCTGCTGGGGGGCCTCGGAAAGGTACAGGGGGACGCGCTGTCCCTGGGGCAGCAGAGGGTCTGAGAAGAAGACGTCTTCACGGCACATCACTGGGAACCCTGGGGAGGAGACACCACTAGGGTGGCGGGCTAGGGGCTCCCACCCCTGGACGCTGCTTCCCGGAGGAGTTGGGGCAGCCTTGCACCCTGGTGGACTGAGGGAGGTACCTGCATCTGGGTGCACCTGCTGTCCATTCTGATGCCCTGTGGCAAGGGCTGCGGGCTGGGGACCCCTGCCCGAGGCTGCCTCATACAGCGGCCAGAACGAGGGGTGACATAGAGTCCGGCCTGAGAAGGAGGCTCCTGAGCTACAGTTGGCCCCCTGGTGGGAGAACAAAGCACTAGAGCCTCAGGCCACCTCAAGGTGTCCCTGCGTGCCCCAGCCGGCCCCACAGGTTTGCCTCCAACTCACCCACACCAGCCGAGGCCCTGCTTTGGCTTCGTACTTGGGGTCCCAGGGTGCTAGAGGGGTCGTCCTCGAGGGGGCCTCCTCCCAGGCCATCTGGGGGGGAAGGGGAACTGGAAGGACACTTGGGGATTACAACAGGCTGAGAGTCAGTGAGAGAGGCTCTTGGGGGCAGTAGAGGCAGCAGGGCCAGTCCTACCTGGGGCTCCGAGGGGTTGCTCAGTGGCCGGACCTGGCGGATGTTGGGGCAGCAGCAGCTGCTCTCTCTGGGTCCAGGAATGTCTGCGGGGTGGGGGCTGTGGGCTGGAGGGGCAGGGACTGAAGCTGCAACCACCCTGCCCCCATGCACATTCCCCTGTAGCCCAAGGGTGCCTGGTGCAAGGGAGGCCAACAGACCCAATCTTCGGCAGGGACAATGGAGACGCCTCCGTAGAGCGCGGGCGAAGGCATGGAGGCCCCAGTCGCTGTCCCCCCCGCTCCGTGGCTCCGACCAAGCCCCTCACCTGTCCCGTGGGGGTGTCCCCAGTTCCCTGGGGGCGTCCGCTCCTGAGCGCCAGGCCTCACCCTGGTCCCTGCCCGCGGTGGGGCCTGGTCCCTCGGGCGTCTCTTCCGGGCCCGCGCCCCACCGCCGTGGCGACCAGGGCAACATGCCGTATCCCTGCCGGCCGTCCCACTCAGCCTCCCTCCGCGGCGTGGCGTGAACTGGCCCGCGTGGCGAGCTCACGCCTGAGACCTCGCGGCGACGCCGCGCCGTGTGCGTCTCCCGACCACGTGGCGCGTGCCCCCGCTGGGCTACCGCAGCGCCCCCTGGCGACGGGGCGGAGAATCCCCGACACAGAGGTTACCCCGCCCCCGAGACGCGCGTGCTCAGACACAGTCACACCTGAGGGCCACCCAGAGGACTTCTGGCTTGTTTATTGCAGTTGAAACGACACCTGCGACACCCGTGGGCCTTCCACCCCCAGCGACGGCCAAGCCTGAAGGCCGAGGGGCCCCATGTCTCAGAGCATGGAGCCCAGGTGCATCTTCTACTTCCCGGGTCCTAGGCGGGGTGGGCCCTGTGCCCCCACCTTCACCCCTAAGGCCGGTCTAGCAGGGCGTGGACGACAGCAGCGATGTAAGGGAGGCCCCTTCCCGAGGCCCCCTCCTCCTCCAGGATGTGGTGGGGCTGGCACAGGGACTCCTGGGGGAAGGGGCCAGGTTAGCTTCCCCACAGTGCCCCCGACGACTTCCCACCCATGGCAGGGGGTCGGGGGCAGGCCCGGGCATTCTGGGAGACACCGTGCACTCGGGGCTTGGTGACAAATGAGACCGAAGAAAGCTGTCAGCAGTAACAGAAAGGAGAATGACACAGGGGCTGAGGCTCTGGGAGCATGAGGCCGGCATCTCCAGAGGGAGGTGCTGGGAGACACAGAGCAACGGCCATGGCCACTGCCACCACCATGGAGAGCAGACGTGTTCGCACACATGCGCAGATGCGTTCGCGCGCACACACACGCAGACCAGACATGCTCATGAACACACACACACACACACAGGCAAGGCAGCCACGGTCTGTACAGTTTATACACAGAGATAGGAACCCGGACGGGGCCCCACACCCCTACAAATATAGATCCTTTCTACAAAATAAGAGATAATTTAGCCTCCCATAGCAGCTGGCGGGGGAGTAGGGCATAAAAAGAAGGGGGCGACTTCAGCTCCTGCCGCCCCTCAGGGGGCACAGAGGGCAGGGGCAGGGCCAGCGGGGGCATGAAGGCATCGTCAACACTGAGAGGTGGGGACTCATGGGGCTACCGGAGGGAGGCCAGAGGCTGGGGGCCCAGGGTCTGGGGGCACCAGAGTGGGGCCTCTGAGGTCAGTGTCTGTGAAGGGCTGCACTAGTGTCTTTGGTTGGGGCTGAAGGCACCGAAGGTGGGGTCAGGTGGAGCAGGGGCCTTATAAATAGAAGGGGGGAGGGAAAGGGGTGAAGGAGGGCTGATCTGGGGTCCTAGGAACCCAGGAGCCGAGTGTAGGCGACACAGAGCAGCAGCATGAGGACCACGTAGAAGACTATGAAGCCGCCCAGACCAGAGGGGGGCCAGAGGGGCGGCAGGGCCTTGCCCCCCACCCGCTTCACAGCCTCCAACACAGTCCGCAGCCCCCGGGTGGTGCCCTGGAGGAGATCCGAGGGCGAGCACAGGTCGGCCTGAGGGAAGAGGAGAGCAAGTGGACAAGGACAAGGGACAGACATCAGCAGCAGCAGCAGGACGGTCCCTCCCACCCCTGCCCTCACGTGCTGGGGCCAGAGCCACGCCCACATGCTGACGTGCAGGACAGGGAGTACAGGGCAGGGGTCGTGCTGGGCAGGTGACATGCAGAACAAGATGGGGCATGCAGGGCAGGGGACATATAGGACAGATGACATGCAGGGCAGGGGGCATGCCGGGCAGGGCAGGGGCCTCCGCTTGAGAGCAGACACCAGCTTCAATGGAAGCCCGCCATCCATACCACATGCTTGGCTGAGCCAGGGATGCCACCACTATTTAGAAAGCAGCCCCCATACCTCAGGCACCCCCATTTTTCGACAGGCTTCTAGGAAACTCTCCACGTTCTTCCGAGCCTTGAGGGCACTGAGTTTTGGCTAGGGTGGGTAAAAGAAGAAAATGTGGTAAGGGAAAGTCCACAGGTGCCCCTGGTCCATCCCCTGCCCCCTCCACTGACCCCAACTGACCACAGCAGGGGAGGGCACATGGATGAAGGGCACGGAGCGAGGCCGTAACTGGTTGGCCAGCTGGCACAGGATGACCCCGCTGGCCAGAGCCTCGGCCAGGTCCTCAGGCAGGGGCTGCTGCAGCCGGGACTCAAGGACCTGGGAGTGTAGATGACAGAGCAGGAGTGAGGGAAGGAGAGGCATCTGAGAGGCAGGCAGAGCGGGGAGCTCAGAGCCAGTAGGGAACTTGTGCCTGCCCCTTTCTATTCTCAGGGGAGGTGCCAGAGTGGGTATAGAGAGTATGGAGGGAAGCTGGGTCCCAAGGACAGCAACACAAGGAGGTGCCAGGCCTAGGCCCCTGCCCACACAGCCCCCGCCTCTGCTCACCTGGCGCAGCTGAGTCAGTAAGTCCTTCTCGTCTGGAACCTGGGGGGTCTGCCGAGGTCTCAGGACAGAGTCTGGTGAGGAAGGGCCTAGGAGAAAAAGGGGGGCATGGGGCTGCCTCCACTGCTCACCACTGACTCCGTAGCTGGGTCCTGGTGGCCTGGCACCCACACCTCCCACCTCTCTGCTTGTGGGATTTTCTTTTTCTTTTTCATGGAGATGGCATCTCACTATGTTGCCCAGGCTAGTCCTGAACTCCTGGGCTCAAGCAATCCTCCCATCCTGGCCTCCTAAAGTGCTGTGATTACAGTTGTGAGCCACTGTGCCCGGCCTGCTTGTGGGATTTTCAACACAAAGGGACAACAGACCCAGAGGGCTCCCAGGGCAGAGGGTGAGGTAGTGGCTGGTGCTGGTGAACACTGGGTCAGCACTGGGGAGGGTGGAGACACGAACCTGAGCCACTCTGAGAGGAGGAACGGAAGAGGAAGCTGTTTGGTCTCTGAATGGAGCCAAGCGGCCGAGGAACAGGTGCTGTCGCTGGGGCCAGAACCAGGGACACAGTGACAGGAGTGGGTGACATAGCCATCCCCTCTGTGTCCCACTCTCCCAACCAGCCCTCACCGACACAGGCCCCTGTCCTCCTCCCAAAGTCCCTGTCCCACCTGGTCCAGCTATGGGAAGGGGCTCCTGGGACACAGAGACAGGGCTGGGGGCTCCCTGTCCTGCTGCAGGCCCCAGCTGGGAGGCACTGGTCTTAGGTGGGCTGCTGAGGAGAGACAGAAGGGAGTTAGAGGGGTGGTCATGGGAAGAGTGGGGAGGGGACGCTGGCAGGAAACCTACTTGTGTGTGGCTTGAGTGGATGCAGCAGCGGCCCCTCCTGCAGCAGCCCTGAGCCCCAGCTTCAAGACGCTGGAACAAGGAGAGGTGGGGTCAGCCAGCCCCAAGGCAGAACCACTCAGGGGAGCTCGGCAGCCCCATTTCCAGGGCTCAGTGTCCAGCAACAGCCCAGAGCAGCCCTGGGTCCCACCTATCCTTCCTGGGGGCCCCCCATGCCCCGCTCTGCTGCTGCTGCTGCTGCTGCTGCTGCCGACGCTCCCGCTCCTGCCACAGCTGCAAGGTATCCGGACGCCGCCGCTCCTCCCCTGCCGGTTCCTCCCGCCTGAGGGGCCAAGACAGGGTGAGAGGGGCCAACCCCAGGGTCAGGGGAGGAGGGGCTGTGGGATGGGAGGATCAGGCAGAGGTGTCGGCTCAGGGGCTCAGGGTACCTGCTGCTTGGTGCCCTTTCCCTGTCCCCTGCCCCGGAGCTTAATTCAGGTGGTTGCTGCTCCTGAGGAGAGAACAGGAGAGCAGCTGAGGGTGGGCCTGTGCCCACGCCTGCCCTGTCCCCTCCTCCAGCTCCCCTCCCTCGGGAGAGGCACGGCTGGGCCCTCACCTCCGCTGTGCCTCGCTCTTCATCCTCCCCAGGGACATGGCTGTCGATGAAGTCAATCTGCTCGGGGTCTCCGTCCGCTGGGGAGGCGAGCACGTCAGCAAGCAGGTGGGGACCCAGGCCCTGGTCCAGCCCAGCTCCCTGCCAGCCCTGCTACTCACCTGAGCCATCCTCCCTGCGTTCTCTAGGCCCCCGGGGCTCCCGGGCCAGCTCGGAGATCCGGAATGACAGCTCTGAAAATTCATCTGTTGACTGTAAAGGCAGAGGCAGAGGCAGAGGCAGAGATGGGAGATGGCCTCTCTACACATGGGGGCTTGGGGCCTCTGGGAGGCCTGTGAGGGACTGAGCCCAGGGTCTCTGCTAAGCCAGCCCTTTCTCAGGATGCTGGGGAGAGGGAAGGAAGATAGCTCCAGCCTCTGTCTGGCACCCTGCAATTTTGAGGTCCCCATTTCAATGGTGTTCTCTCAGGGCTGACACCCCCAATCTCCCATGGACAAGATGCCATTACCTCATTTCCAGACCACCTCTTGCTGCCGCTATCAACACTGTGGAAGCCTGAGTCCAGTCCACCATCGTACCGACGTCCCGGAAATAGATCCTCTGCAGGGCTGGGGCCAGCCAGGGAGATCTGGTCAGTCTGATGCTGGACAGCAACCCCCCATCCTCCCGCCAGAAAGCAGGTGGTGCCTGGGGCCGGGAAGGGGGATGAAGTATCCCAGGGCTTCCTTCCTTCCCACGTAGGACTTACCAGGGACTGAAACTTGGGGGCCGGGAAGGGGCCAGGTCCCCCAGGGCCAACCCGCGTTGCCCGGCCTCTGTGGACAAGTACTTGAAGATGTGAAGTTTCCCCTTCAGGCAGACCTGTGTGCGGGCAGCACATGTTGGGGAGTTGGGAGAGAGGGTGGCTCCCCAGATCCTGCTCAGCTACCCAAGGGGACCTACCCCACTCCTGCCCAGCTGCACCCCTGTCCCCATAGCCCCCCGCCTCACCTGGGCAGGTGGGCTCTGCAGGGGGTTGCTGTCCAGCAGAATGACCTGCAGGTGCCTGAGTCGGCAGAAGGAGACTGGGATTCGGGAGATGCGGTTACAGGAGAAATCCAGGCGGACCAGAGGGAGGTCCCCCAGCTCTGGGCAAGGAAAAAGTCAGAAGCGTGCTTAGGGCTGGGGCCTCACGCTCCTTTCCTCACCCCTGGCTCTGGCTGGCCAGTCATCCTGGGCCCAGCACAGCCTCTCCCCTGGGTGGCTCAAGTCATTCCCCAGAAACAACCTCCTTGCCCCTCTCCCCATGAGTCTGGTCCACGGTCTAAGCGAGCCCCCTTGAGAGGGCCCATCCGGACATCAGTCAGCTCAGCCTCCCCAGGAAGGCCCATCCAGATGGCGGCTCCCACTCAGCCTTGTCTGTCCCTCCTCGTCTCCTTGCCTGCCCACCACGCACTTGAACCCACCTTTCATTCTCAAATGATCAGCACAAGACACAAACTCTGCTCAAACACCTCCTGTGACGTGCAGCCAGGGTTGCCAGTGTAGAGTGGGTTGTGCCCACCTGAGAGTCCCCTCTCCCCAGCATGGGCCCAGCCTTTACCAGGCTGGAGTGCAGTGCTGCAATCTCGGCTCACTGCAACCTCCGCCTCCGGGGTTCAAGCAGTTCTCTGCCACAGCCTCCCAAATAGCTGAGATTACAGGCGCCTGCCACCATGCCCAGCTAATTTTTGTATTTTTAGTAGAGACAAGGTTTTGCCATGTTAGCCAGGCTGCTTTTGAACTCCTGACCTCAGGTGATCCACCCACCTCGGCCTCCCAAAGTGCTGGGATTACAGGCGTGAGCGACCGCGCCTGGTCTTGCTCATTCTTAAAAAGGCATATTCTGGGCCGGGCGCGGTGGCTCACGCCTGTAATCCCAGCACTTTGAGAGGCCGAGGTGGGCGGACCACGAGGTCGAGAGATCGAGACCATCCTGGTCAACATGGTGAAACCCTGTCTCTACTAAAAATACAAAAAGATTGATGGTTGCCCTAGGCATAGAATAAAAACCACAGCTCCCTAACCCAGCACGAGCAAGACTTCCATGACCTGGCTCCACGCACATTTCCCATCTCATTGTCTACCCCTCTGGGCCCTCAGCTTCTGAGCCTTCCCAGGTGCTGTTTGCCCCTGTCCAATTTCCTGTCCACGCATCTTTTGAGGTTCAGCTCAAGCGTCACCGCCTCAGTGGATCTTTCCAGACATCCCAGATTCATGGAATTCACTGCTCCTGCCTCTGTGTCCCCAGGGTATCTTGCTTGGATTTCTTTTTATGACCCAGAAAGAACCCTACTCCTTCTGACTGGGAAGGAAGAGGGCAGGTGCAGAAAGAATCAGGCAGTGGAGACAGTGAAAACGGATGACCACCTCACTCCTTTTTTGTTCTTCAAATCCAAGTTCACACTAGAGCAAAGCACAGGCCCTTCCTGCTAAGCCAAGCTTGCCTTCCTAGCCCCACGCTTTGCACATGCTGGGTCCTCTGCCTGGATGCAGAAGGCTGGGGAATTCTCCTTCAATGGCCAGCTCCCGCTGCTCCTGCCCCTGCGCTGAAGTCTTCCCCAGGCCCCACAAGCAGAGTCCCCACCGGCCCCCATCCAGGCATCCTGCCTGGGGGACTTCCCTATGACTATCTGTCTCTCCTCCTGAAGCCATTAAATCCCTAAAAGATGGCCTTAGATCTTAAGACACAAGACCTGCATCTACCTGGTCCCAACCTAAAACACAGGAAACACACATACACAGAGACACAACACACACACACGGAGACACAAACAACACACACACAAAACACATCACACACACACAAAACACAGACATAAACCCACACACACACAAACCCACACACAACACACACACATACAAACAACACACACACACACAACACACAGACACGAAAACACGCTGCCTGCTGAATCAAAGGCACGCCTGCTTTGAAGTGGAGGCAATGAGTGCATCACAATGAGCTCAGTAAAGGGCCGTGTGGGCCCCGGAATCTCTGGGAGGAATGGCAGAGCATCCCAACTCAGGTGTTTGAGAGTCCCTGCTGGGGTGAGCAGGGATGCTGGGTGACCTTGAAGGCCCCTTCCGACCTTGCCAGTCTACCCAGAGCTGATGCACTCACCAGCTCCCGTTCTGTGCCTGTGCCCACATTTCTAACAGAGCTGCTCATCCGCGCCCTGCCAGCCTCAGAGGGTTGCTAGGTCAAGATCAAATCAGATCATTTACAGTTTGTTTTATATACTGCAAAAGCCTAGGCAGTGAAGGCGTAATTCTTCTCTGAAGCTTCCTGGCCTGTAACTTCTCTAAAGTACATACACTGTTCTGGACTGAATGTGTCTCCCTTAAAAGTCCTATGCCGAAATCCTAACCCCAAAAGTGATGGGATTAGGAGGTAAAGCCTTAGGGAAGGAATTTAGGTCATGAGGGTGGAGCCCTCGTTAGATTTGTGCCCCTTTATCAAAGAGGCCCCAGAGGGCTGTCTCTGCTCTCCACTATCGGAGAGTACCACTAGGAGCCAGCACTGTGTAACCTGGAAGAGCGCCCTGCCAGAAGCTGACCGTGGAAGCACCCGGATCTTGAACTTCAGCTTCCAGAACTGTGAGAAATGAATGGCTGCTATGAATAAGCCACCAGGCCTTCAATGTTTCTGTTACCGCAGCCTGAGCTAACTGGGATGCACACACCATTACCTCCTCTGTGGTTCTTCATTCCTCTCACCTTCGGGCAGTGTGCTGAGCTGGTTCCTCCGGACATTGAGGTCCCGCAGGGAAGAGAGGCCACACAGCTCTGCAGGCAGGGACTGTAGCTCATTGCTGCTCACATCCTGGTATCAGGAAGGCAGTGGGAAGGGGCCATGAGACCAGGCTGAGCACAAATCCGCCCTCCGGACTCTGTCTTTGGTCCAAGCCTTCCCCAACCTCCCCGCAGAAGGTCCCTGTTGCCTAGCTCAGGGGTCCCTCTTCTGGCCCTGTCCCCATCCTCACAAGCTGTCGCAGGCTTCCCAGGGCACCAATATCAGGGGGCAGGGCTCCCAGCTTGTTGTTGCTGACAATGAGGACCCTCAGGGGCAGCTGGCAGATGTAGGGTGGCAGCGTCGACAGCTGGTTTCGGCTGTAGAAGGGAGAAAGGCAGTGGGCTGGCTCCCCAGGCATGGCATCCCAGCAGTGCCATCCTCTCAGGGTCACCGGGAGGGTCACCAAGTAGTACTTGAGGCTGAGAAGGACACACTCCCATGGATTCCTGGCTCAGGCTCCCTACCTGAGGTTGAGGTAGGTGAGGGCTGTGAGATTCCCCAAGGCTGGGTTCAGGCATCTCAGGCAATTGTGGTAGAGGCTCAGGCCCTCCAGGGACACTAGCTGGCATGCCGCCTCGGGCACCTCGGGAAACCGGTTCCGGGACAGGTCTAGGGAAAGCAGGTGTCAGGGGAGAGTTTCAGAAAGGCCAGCCCTGGACAAGACCTTGAATCTCCCCAGAGCCGGCTGCCCACTCCCTAACCTCCAGACCTAAAGATTCAAGGCCATAAATGTGGCCTCCCAGGAGAGATAACAAAGCCTTCTGCCAATAGGAGCACATTCCAGGCTTGAACAGAGTGGCATAGGGAAGGCAAAGGCCTTAGTGTCACTGGGCTGGAGAAGCCCAGACTGGGGGTATTGGGGAATGCTTCGATGTCAATGGCAAGCTATCCTGGAGAGCAGCTGGAGTCTCTAACTCCTGTGGTTCCTGTTCGGAGATGTCAGGTGAGGTGGAAGACAGAAGGGCAGAGGAGGGGTCAGTGCTCAAGGGAAAACAATGAGGTGAGGAGCTGGGGGGATTCCAGGAGGGAATATGGGAAGCCCCTGGGGAAAACTGCAGGGAGAGCCCATCACTCCTCGGGACCCTTCCTCCCTACTCCCGTGTTTTCAACGGGGGAGAAACCACAGGCCACTCTCTCTCAGCTCTAGAGATTAAGTCCCTGACACTGGACGAGTTTTCCGCCAGCCTTAACGAACAGCAAGCCAGGTCCAAAGGACTCTAAAGTTACCAGTTCCCAAGGGTTAGAAGGGAAGGGCAAGAAGACCTGGTTGGAGACGGGAGCATGGAGTTCCCAGACCCTTCCCATCTGCGCTCTCCTGGCCCAGGGCAGGCCTCCTTCCCACCCTCTGCCAGCTCCAGGAGCCTGGCTCTGCTTCCTCTCTTACTGACACAGACTTCAAGAGGTCAGGAACTGTGTGAGCATCTCGGGCGTGGCAAGGGTGGAGAGTATGGGAAGGGCTGGGGTCTACTATCACCATCTTATCTGGAGCACTACCTTGCTATCCAGAGGCCAGCAGCCTCGGATTCCTTTAGCACAGAGCCACTAACCACTTAGACCTGGAGAAGCCTGCCTTTCTGTTTCCTCAGCCAGCCGGTCCTGGGAGGGGCCCAGGGCCTGTGAGGGGAAGTCCCAGGCCACAGACCTGGTGAGCGTCTTCAAGGGCCCTTTTTAGGCAGGGGCAGGCCAGCAAAAGCAAGCTGAGCGGAGGAGAAGCTGGGTATATCCCCCAAGGAAATGAGTCTTGTGACAGGAAATGAAGCAGAAACAATCTGTCAGGTTCTGTCTATGGTAGGCCCTGTGTTTACCAGGGTGGATGACAGCATGATGCCTTGGGACCCCTGTCTTCCTCTCTGCCCAGCCCTGGTACACAGAGGCCCTGGGCTGGGAGATAACTGTTCTGGAGAGGGCGAGGGGGACGGCATCTGCCCCTTCCAGCCACACCTCCACCTGCCTGCTTTCTCTGCATCTGCAAGTGTGTTTGTGTGAGTGCATGTGGATGAAGTGGGTAGAGACCGAGTTCTCAGAGATCTGATGGGGTAAGCAGTGGAGGGGACAAGAGCTAGGAGCGGAAGGGAGCTCAGGCAGGAGGCAGGGCACAGGGGGCACAGGATGTGGTCTGGGAGAGAATGAGCTGCACTTCTCCTTTGCAAGATGGCCCCTCCCGCCACCTCTGGATTCTTCCCACTATCGCCCCAGGGAGCCTAGTCCAAGGGAGATCAAAGTCCCCTGCCATAGGGAAGACGCAGGGAAGACACTCAAAAAGAGATGGGAAACAGGAGGGGAAGGCTAAAGCTAGTCCAGGCAGCAGAGCATTGATGCTTTTTGTCTGCTTGGAGGGTGAGGAGAGACGGAGGGCAGGGTGCAGGCAACTCTATGCTTTTGTCACTTCCTCTTTCTGCCCTAGCCTCCCTAGCACCCTGCTTGGGGAGAGGGGACAGAGGACAGAGTTCTGGACAAGAGGGACCCCACTTGGCCTAGAACCTGGGCCCTGGAAGGACTGAGGATTCCTGCATGGAGAGTGGGGCAGAGGGGGGTTCTCCGGAAGCTTGGATTTTCCCCGAAAGCTCATAGGAGCTTGGCTGCACCCTAAGCGGGAATGCTGGGGGAGGAGGGGGCAGGGGGCGGGAGCTGGGAGGGGCTGGGGAGCTCCGGGTAGTTTTCCCCAAGAGTCCACGCAGGGAGAGACAGCCTAAGGAAGTAAAGAATAACATTTGGTCTTTGTCAAAAAACAAGCAAGGGGGAGGGGAAGGGAACAGACTGCAAGTGTCACACAGCTGCTGAGGTCAATCTGGAGCGTGGGGTTAGGTGGGGGTGGGAGCGAACCGGGCTCTAAGGGGTGGGAATGGCTCCTGGGGCTCACTCATTCCCGATCTCATGATCTCACCCATGGCAGAGCAGGCGAGATCAGTGTGGATAACCACTGGTTCTCCCGAGAAGAGGAGAGAGAGCAAGTACCAGTGCCAGCCTGAGTGTTCCAAGGCGAGCAGGCACCTGCTTAGGGAGAAATACGCACTTTCCTCCAGCTCTGTACCCCACCCTGCAGATGAGAGGAGGAGGAGGCCTGAGCTGGGGTGAGGCTTCGGGAATGCAGTCCTCCTCCCGGCTCCTGATCCCCACCCGCAACTGCCAGCCCAAGGTCACAGGCTGCCTCCTAAGCAGCTGAGGCCTGACTCACCTGTCACAGTTAAGTCCCCCACCCCCTACCGTCCACAGACACCGGGGTGGAGGGTGGATGGTTGGGCAGATCCTGCGGGTGGAGGCGTGGAAGGATAGTCTCTAGCTGGCCAGCACTCCCAGCTAAGAGATAAGATTTCCTTCCCTCCAGCAATGGCCTCAAGTCCCTCCCCTGGGGGAAAGCAGAAACTGAAATGGGAATTATAGGGTCCCTATGAGGTCACAGGCTCCACAGTGACCTCACAGACTTAAAGGAGGAGGAGGAGTCTCAGATAAGGAGGTTGGGGATAATAGGCGGAAGCGCTCGGGGAGAGAAGAGTGAGGGAGGTAGAGATTTACTTCTTTCCCATAGGCTGGAGGGCTGCGTGGACAGTGGAGAGGGCCAGGACCTTGGGGGGCGGGGTTACAGCACAGAAAGCAGGAACGTTGGGAGTAGGGGCCAGTCCCTGGGAAGGGGGTGCCAGTCCCTGGGAAGGGGGTGCCTGGGACTGCTCCGATCTTGGCGGGACGGGGGTTAAGAGATGTAGATGAAGAGGAGGGAGAGAAAGTAGTGATTAGAGGAGCTCGTGGGAACTGCTTCATGGACTGATCGAAGCTGAGGTTAAGAGGTCAAGTAAATGATCCAACCAGGTGAGGGGCGGGACCATCCTACAGGTGCGCAGCTATGCAAATAAAGAGAAAGGAGGAATCACTCCCAACGCTCGGAGGCGCCGGGCGTTCTGTGCAAACCAGAAGCATTATCTAGGAATTCTCAAAGATGGGAGGTGGTGGCTGCAGGTTTATGGCAATCTGGAGTGGCAGCAACTCTGGCCGCCAGGTGAAGGGGCGGGCCCGACTCCCAGGCTGGGCGGGGATTCGGGGCGGGGCTATGCAAATGAGGGCCCCGGTCGGGCCTGGGTCCCGGGGCCCGGCTGCACTCACCAGCCTGGGTGATGTCTGACAGGTCGTAGCTGCGGGCCGCACCTCGGGGGAAGTGCTTCAAGCGCCGGTTAGATAGGTTCAGGGTCCCGGTGGCCACGGCCTCCTCTAGGGCCCGCTCTGCAGTGCGGCTCCCGGGCAGACCCGGAGACCCGGGTACGGAGGTCGCGGCCGCCGCCTCCTCACCCCCAGCGGCGAGTGGACCCACTACGGCCGCCGCCATCCGCTCCCGGCGGCTCCCGCTGCCTGACTGACGGGACTAGCCGTCCCTCCTTCTCCCACCCCCCTCCTTGGAGCCGCCGTAGTTGCCTCAAGAGGGAGGGAGTGCTGTCCGGGACCTGACGGACCAATCGTGGTCCCGAGACGCGTCAGGAGCGACCAATCAAAGCCCGCCAGTGGGGTGGAGCCTCCGGCGCTGGAGTCTGACGAGAGAAGGGAGGGGAAAGAGTATAGAGCGCCCGCCAACGGCCGACGCTCCAAGCCGTCCCGCCCAGCGCAGCCGCACCCAATCACAATGCTCAAATCTGGAGGTGGGGCCAATCAGGTTCAACCAAGAGGAGGGGACACCGGCGCTCAACTAGTAGTGAAACGGGCCGAGAGACCGCAAGCAAGGGGCGCCTAGTCCTCGTCCCACAAGGGCCAATCGTAAGCCAGATACGAGCGAGTGACTGTCAAGAAGGCCAATTAGATCCTCCTTAGGGAATCTGGACCGGCCTCTTCTCTGAGGGACGGCTCTACCTGCCAATAGCATGGGCGAGAAGGCGGTCTCTTTGCTAAGGAGGAGGCGGGTGAGCTAGAACTTTTAAGTCTGAGGTTAAGAATGCGGAGCCCGGGGCCGCCTGAATGCAGTGCGCGGTTGCAGCGGCGAGTCTGAGCTGGACATGTTAGTGGGTAGCCGGCGTCAACGGCTGGAAGGGAGTTGGGCGACTGCTAGAGGCCAGTGCGCTGGCAGTTGTCGCAGCCGACGGGACGGCGTGGGGGACCTCCGGCTGCGGAGGCTCTGCAGGGGTCTCAGGACTCCTGGGCTGGGGCGGGCGGGGGCTTCCCAGAGCCTGGAGACGCCCAGCTGGAGGAGGGAGGGTGTAGGTGCATCGTTGCGTGGTCTGCCGTCTCTCCCGAGGAGTTCCCCTGGACAGGAATGGAGAAGGGACCAGACCTGGGGATTTTAGAGGCTTAGAAAGGACAACGCCTAGAACACACCCTTGGTGCTACGAATGCAGAAACTGAGGCAGAGGGAAGTTGATGCGTTAGCAAGAGCGAACAGCAAATCCTGACAGCTGGCCATAGAAACCGGGTCTCTGGAACCTCCATGCACAGCCCTTTCCCGCTCCCTCAGTTTTCACACAGGATTTTTTTTTTTTTTTTTTTACCTCCCTCCCTTCCTCTCTCCCTTCCTCCCTTCCTTCCTTCTTCCTCCCTCCCTCTTCCTTTTTTCCTTTCTTCTCTTCCTTTTTTTCTTTATCTCTTTTTTTAAATTAAAAAGGTCTGGTTCTGTTGCCCAGGGTGGAGTGCCGTCGTGCAATGATGGCTCACTGCAGCTTTGAATTCCTGGGCTCAAGGGATCCTCCCGTCTTAGCCTCCCAAGTAGCTGGGACCACAGGCGGCACCACCGCGCCTGGCTAATTTATTTTTAATTTTTGTAGAGATGGGGTTTTGCTGTGTTGCCCAAGCTGGTCTCAAACTCTTGTCCTCAAGTGATCTCCTGCCTCTGCCTCCCAAAGTACTGGGATCACAGGCGTGAGCCACCACACCCGGCTGTCCGTGGACTTTTTCTTTCTTTCTTCCTTTTTTTTTTTTTTTTTTTTTTGAGACAGAGTTTCGCTCTTGTTACCCAGGCTGGAGTGCGATGGCGCGATCTCGGCTCACCGCAACCTCCGCCTCTTGGGTTCAGGCAATTCTCCTGCCTCAGCCTCCTGAGTAGCTGGGATTACAGGCATGTGCCACCATGCCCAGCTAATTTTTTGTATTTTTAGTAGAGACGGGGTTTCACCATGTTGACCAGGGTGGTCTCGATCTCTCGACCTTGTGATCCACCCGCGTCGGTCTCCCAAAGTGCTGGGATTACAGGCTTGAGCCACCGCACCCGGCCAATGACTTTTTCTTTCTTTTGAGACAGAGTTGCTTTGTTGCCCAGGCTAGAGTGCATTGGCTCCATCATGGCTCACTGCAGTCTCAACCTCCCACCTCAGCCTCTGAGTAACTGGGACTACAGACATGCACCACCATGCTGGCTAATTTTTGTATTTTTTGTAGAGACAGGGTCCTACTATGTTGCCCAGGCTGGTCTCAAACTCCTGGGCTTAAGCAGCCCTCCCACCTCGGCCTCCCAAAGTGCTGGGATTATAGGTGTGAGCCACCACATCTGGCCCACAGTGGCCTTTTTCTGTTCACAACCTCTCGTTTGCCTCCTGGGGTGAAATGGAGTGGATAAAGGGGACCCAAACACAAGAGGAATGAAAAATACCTTTCTGTCTACTTGGAGATCTTAACTTCCTTTCAGGTGGCATAAGTTCCTAATGCAGTCGCCTTCCTATGTGGTGGGTTGCCCAGAAACAAGTCACTGAAGTTGCTTTCACCTACGTTTATATCTCAGAGGTTGATATTCCTGAATAGTTGTTGAGTTATTAAAATTCCATCTTAGGCATCCCAGCCTAGCTATGGCTAGGCACCATACATAAGGGAATTTGGGTGGTCAGTCTGGTGCAGTCAATGAATGGGCTGTGACGCTGTGCAGTGAGGGCTGGTGAGGTCCGGCAGGACAGGACTCCTTTGAGACCCTGCAAGAGCCAGCCACTCCTTGGATTTCTTGGTGTAGATCTGACCCAATCTGGACAGACACAATCCCAGCCCCTGCCATTTCTCCTCATAAATGTCACCTCACGTAAGACAAAGCTAGTATCAGAGACCCTGGGAGAAATCCCAAGCTTTCAGTGGAAATCCATCCCTTTCTCCCACGTTAATAGGTTGTTCTTTATACATGCAATGATGTTACTGTCCCCATGAAAGCAAAAGCAGTCTGCTTTTCTTTGTTTCTTTTCTTTTTTGAGACAGAGTTTTGTACTTGTTGGTTAAGCTGAAGTGCAATAGTGCGATCTTGGCCCACTGCAACCTCTGCCTCCTGGATTCAAGCAATTTTCCTGCCTCAGCCTCCCCAATACCTGGGATTACAGGCATGCACCACCATGCCCGGCTAATTTTATATTTTTAGTAGAGACAGGGTTTCTCCAAGTTGGTCAGGGTGGTCTAGAACTCCTGACCTCAGGTGATCCACCTGTCTCAGCCTCCCAAAGTGCTGGGATTACAGACGTTAGCCACTGTACTGGGCCTTTTTTTTTTTGTATTTTTGTTTTGAAACTGGGTCTCATTCTCACCCAGGCTAGAGCATGGTGCATGGTGGTCCTATCATAGCTCACTGCTGCCTTGAACTCCTGGGCTCAAGCAATCCTCCTGCCTCAGCCTCCTGAGTAGCTGGAACTACAGCGGTGCACCACCATGCCTGGCTAATTTTTAAGTTGTTTTTTTTAATAGAGATAGGGTCTCTCTATGTTGCCCAGATTGGTCTTGAACCCCTGGCCTCAAGCCATCCTCGCACTGTGGCCATCCAAAAGTGCTGGAATTTCAGGCATGAGCCACTGGCACCCAGCCGCGGTCTCCTTTTGAATATGTTTTTCACGAGGCTAAAAAGTCTGCTGAGGCCGGGCGCAGTGGCTCAAGCCTGTAATCCCAGCACTTTGGGAGGCCGAGGCGGGTGGATCACGAGGTCAAGAGATCGAGACCATCGTGGTCAACATGGTGAAACCCCGTCTCTACTAAAAATACAAAAAAATTAGCTGGGCATGGTGGCACGTGCCTGTAATCCCAGCTACTCAGGAGGCTGAGGCAGGAGAATTGCCTGAACCCAGGAGGCGGAGGTTGCAGTGAGCCGAGAGCGCACCATTGCACTCCAGCCTGGGTAACAAGAGCAAAACTCCGTCTCAAAAAAAAAACAAAAATAAAAATAAAAAGTCTGCTGAATCATTTGTGAGCTAAACAATTATTAGCAGAGTCTCCATCTCACCTGTCAAACTGGGTTTATAGTTTTTTGAGTTTATACTCTTGAGCTACCTACCAATCCCTGGAGGCCTTGGCCTGCTGAGATGTGAAGAATTCTCCAGTGTTCTCTACAGAGTTAGCACTAAAAGGGCCTCAAGTGGAAAAACCTCTTGCTCCCTGAAATAAAGATGCCATCTACCAATAATTCACAGTGTATTTCTCCAGTAAAATGCATTTCCCTTGAGCCATTGATGGCTAGAACTGAGCTAGAACCCAGGAGCTGTTAAGAAATGGGCCCTGGGCAAGATTAAGGGGAATAGGTCACAGTGGCTGAACAGTGAGGTCACAGAGAGGTTTGTTGGCCACAGACTCCATGGGGGAGGGGCCTAGGAGGCAGAGGGGCCCCAGAGGTCCCCTAAGCCTAGGCAGGGGACATGGTGTGGGAAAGCCAGCAGGAACAGGGGGCCAAGGGCCTAGGAGACAGGAGGGCAGGAGCAGGGAGAGGGCAGCCAGGATGATGAGGAGGAGCCAGAGACGGAGGCTGCAGAAATTCACCGGGCTATGCAGACGGGAGGAGGGGCTCTGGGTGAGGGGGGCTGGCCGCAGGAGATCGGGAGGTTTTATTTGAAGAAGTTAGGGATGGGTCTGGGGAGAGACTGAGGACATGACTGCACCAAGCTGGAGTGAGATGAGCCCCAAGATAGGAAGAGAGAAGGGAGAAAAAGATGTGGGACCTTCACGGGACCCTATGCACCCCTTCTCGGGTAGGTGAAAAGAAGCTGCCCTTCTTGTGGCCCGGAGCTTGGGGATGAAGAGAAGAAGGGGAGAGGAAACCCGATTTCTGTCCAGTTGTTCCCCCCAGAGCTGGTGAGTCCCTGGGGAGGCGGGTTGAGAATACTAGGATTGGAGACCAGACCACCAAGGGGCCACCGATGATCCTCCCTCACCGCTTCTTCTCTCCTCCTTCCCAGGTGGAACATATCATCTCATTCCTCCCAGTCAGAGACCTTGTCGCCCTTGGCCAGACCTGCCGTTACTTCCATGAAGTGTGCGATGCGGAGGGGGTGTGGAGACTCATCTGTCGCAGGCTGAGTCCGCGCCTCCGAGATCAGGGTTCTGGAGTCCGGCCCTGGAAGAGAGCTGCCATTCTGAACTGTACACCTTCCCCAGAACCTCCCATTCTCCTTGCCTCTGTCCTGCCTTAGCCCTCCTACTCTTAAAGTCCCCCGATGACCTCTACACTCCTAAAAGTGCTTCCAGGGCTAGTTTCTCCAGAAGAAACGGGTCCAGTTCAAACATTTTCCCTTGAGTACTTCCTCCAAGTCTTCAGAATCCACCCACAGTTCCCATTAGCAGCCTTCCTGCCAAGTCTCTCTGTACACAGACACTTCCCGCTCTTTCCCTAGAGGCATCCTCACTCCCCAAACCTGGAGTTTTCTCTTCTCTAACCCAAGGCTTCAGAACTCACTATTGATATTTTGGGCCAAATAATTCCTTGTGGGGGCTCTCCTCTGCATTGTAGGATGTTTAAGCAGGAACTCTGGCCTCCATCCATCAGATGGCCAGCAGCACCCCCCTTAATTGTGACAACCAATGTTCCTGAAGGACAGAATCGCCCCCAGCCTGAGAAGCATGCCCTAAACCCTCTTCCCCTTCAGGGATCCTCTATGCAGTTACTTCTTACATCCATTGGAAGATTAGGGGGACCCAGAAAGTTGATCCAAAGCTGGGGTGAGGGAGGGTGACCAGCCTTCGTCCATCATTCCTTTTCACTCCTTTTTCTGCCTCTTTTCTGTCTTTTTTTTCCTTCCTTCCTTTCTTGAGACAAGGTCTTGCTCTGTCACCCACGTTGGAGCACCCATGTGATCTTGGCTCACTGCAACCTCTGCCTCCTGGGTTCAAGTGATTCTCAAGCCTCAGCCTCCCAAGTACCCAAGTAGCTGGGATTATAGGCGCCCGCACCCACACCCAGCTTATTTTTGTATTTTTAGTAGAGCTGGGGTTTTGACATATTGCCCACGCTGGTCCCAAACTCCTGGGCTCAAGCGAACCACCTACCTCAGCCACCAAAGTGCTGGGATTACAGGCATGCAAAAATTCACAGGGCTGTGAGGGTGGGAAGAGGGGCTCAAGGTGAGGGGGATGCTGCACCCATCCTCTGTGTCTTTATTCTTATAGTTTTTCTTGACATCACTGATGCAAGGTTGTGCCAAAGAATTGCTCATTAAGAAGCACATGTTTGACCCTGGGCTGAGGTGGGGTGGAGACTGAAGTTCATATGTTTGGTATAATCTAAGCTTATTTTCCACATCTCCTTTATAAGGGGTCTGTTCCCCTATCCTGGGGATAGGGAGGAGCTACAAACCAGGGTGTCTGAGAAATCTACACAAGCTCTGACTCATCGCCCTGGTGTCATCCCATCCCTTGAATCTTCAATCTGCTTCCCTCCTCCAGACACGAAGGGCCTGTATTTTCAGGCATTTGGAGGCCGCCGCCGATGTCTCAGCAAGAGCGTAGCCCCCCTGCTAGCCCATGGCTACCGCCGCTTCTTGCCCACCAAGGACCACGTCTTCATTCTTGACTATGTGGGAACCCTCTTCTTCCTCAAAAATGCCCTAGTCTCCTCCACCCTCGGCCAGATGCAGTGGAAGCGGGCCTGTCGCTATGTTGTGTTGTGTCGTGGAGCCAAGGATGTGAGTAGCAGAACCCTGGTAGCTGAGGGCCCACCTGTATTCCATTTTCATGCTGCTATAAAGATGTACCTGAGGCCAGGTGCAGTGGCTCATGCCTGTAATCCCAGCACTTTGGGAGACGGAGGTGGGAGGATCACCTGAGTCCAGGAGTTTGAGACCTGCCTGGCCAACATTGGGAAAACCCGTCTCTACTAAAAATACAAAAAATTAGCTGGGTGTGGTGGCGGGTGCCTATAGTCCCAGGTACTTGGGAGGCTGAGGCGGGAGAATCACTTGAACCTGGGAGGCAGAGTCTGCAGTGAGCCGAGATCACTCCATTGCACTCCAGCCTGGGCAGGAAGAGCAAAACTCCGTTTCAAAAAAAAGACATACCTGAGACAGGGTAATTTATAAAGCAGAGGTTTAATCGACTCATAGTTCTGCATGACTGGGAGGTCTCAGGAAACTTACACTCATGGCTGAAGGAGAAGAGGCACGTCTTACATGACAGCAGGCAAGAGCGCACAAGCAAGAGCAGGGAAAACTGTCTTAAAAACCCATAAGACCTCATGAGAACTCACTATCACAAGAACAGCATGTGGGAAACCACCCCCATGATCCAATCACCTCCCACCTGGGGATTACAATGCCAGATGAGATTTGGGTGGGGACACAGAGCCTAACCATATCGCCACCCGTCTTTTGGGGGCCTAGGTCCCCATCAGTCCCTAGGTATCTTTCCTATGACCTCTGCCCTTCCACATAGGAACTTTAAAGCAAGGGCTTATTTCTCAACCCTGGATCCAAGCATCTCACCTTCCACTCTAGGATCCGGCTGCCCCAGCGTCATCCGGTTTTGAAATCCTAGATCCCAGACACCCTTCATCTTTTCCCCTAGTTTGCCTCAGACCCAAGGTGTGACACAGCTTACCGAAAATACCTCTACGTCTTGGCCACTCGGGAACAGCAGGGAGTGGTGGGTGTCACCAGCAGCCGGGCCTGTGACTGCGTGGAGGTCTACCTGCAGTCTAGTGGGCAGCGGGTCTTCAAGATGACATTCCACCACTCCATGAGCTTCAAGCAGATCGTGCTGGTTGGTCAGGAGACCCAGCGGGCTCTACTGCTCCTCACAGGTGTGGTCCAAAGCAGTGGCTTTTGCAAACTGTTTCCTGCAGACTCCCCAGGCCCTGCTGCAGGGGAGTGGGAGGGAGGCCCCTCAGAGCGGGTTCCATAAGCCACCTTATCCTCGTCTCTATCCAAACAGCTTTGCTTTTCTCTGTCTCCCAGCCTAGGATTCTGCTTAATATTTTACATGAATAAAAGGCCCAGTCTGGGCACGGTGGCTCATGCCTGTAATCCCAGCACTTTGGGAGGCTGAGGCAGGCAAATCACCTGAGGTCTGGAGTTTGAGACCAGCCTGGCCAACATGGTGAAACCCCATCTCTACTAAAAATACAGAAATTAGGTTGGGTACAGTGGCTCGCACCTGTAATCCTAGCACTTTGGGATGCCAAGGTGGAGGGATGCTGAGTTCAAGAGATCGAGACCAACATGGTGAAACCCCATCTCTACTTTAAAAACAAAGATCAGGCTGGGTGTAGTGGCTCACGCCTGTAATCCTAGCACTTTGGGAGGCCGAGGCAGGTGGATCACCTGAGGTCAGAAGTTTGAGACCAGCCAGGCCAACATGGCGAAACCCCTAGTAAAAATATAACTATTACCCAGGTGTGGTGGTGTGCACCTGTAATCCCAGTTACTCAGAAGGCTGAGGCAAGAGAATCACTTGAACCCAGGAGGTGCGGAGGTTGCAGTGAGCTGAGACTGTGCCATTGTACTCCAGCCTGGGTGACAGAGTGAGACTCTGTCTCAAAAAAAAAAAATTAGCCGGGTGTGGTGGCACACGCCTGTAGTCCCAGCTACTTGGGAACCTGAGGCAGGAGAATCGATTGAACCCAGGAAGTGGAGGTTTCAGTGAGCCGAGACTGTGACAATGCCTTCCAGCCTGGGGGACAGAACAAGACTCTGTCTCCAAAAAATAGCAAGAAAAAGGCCCTGCTGCCAAAAACCAGTTTGCAAACCACTATTCTAGTGAACACCTGATTTTAAAAAGTTTGATCTTGGGCCGGGCGCAGTGGCTCATGCCTGTAATCCCAGCACTTTGGGAGGCTGAGGCGGGTGGATCATGAGGTTAGGAGGTTGAGACCATTCTGGCCGACATGGTGAAACCCCGTCTCTACTAAAAATACAGAAATTAGCTGGGTGTGGTGGTAGGTGCCTGTAATCCCAGCTATTTGGAGGCTGAGGCAGGAGAATGGCTTGAACCCAGGAGATGGAGATTGCAGTGAGCTGAGATCGTACCACTGCACTCCAGCCTAAAGAGAGAGTGGGACTCCATCTCAAACAAAACAAAACAAAAACAAAGAGTCTGATCTTGGCAGCACATGGTGGCTCACACCTGTAATCCCAGCAGTTTGGGAGGCCGAGACAGGCGGATCACTTGAGGTCAGGAGTTCAAGACCAGACTGGACATGATGGTGAAAACTCGCCACTACTAAAAATATATACACACACACACACACACATATATATATATATGTGTGTATATATATATGTGTGTGTGTGTGTGTGTGTGTGTGTATATATATATATATATATATATATTATCTGGGCATGGTGGCGGGCACCTATAGTCCCCTACTCAGGAGGCTAAGGACTGAGGGCTGAGACAGGAGAATCACTTGAACCTGGGAGGGAGAGGTTGCAGTGAACTGAGATTGTGCCACTGCACTCCGGCCATAGGTGATAGAGCCAGACTCCATCTCAAAAAAACAAAAATAAGCAGGGCATGGTGGCCCACGCCTGTAATCCCAGCACTTTGGGAGGCCGAGGCGGGCAGATTATGAGGTCAAGAGATCGAGACCATCTGGCCAACATGGTAAGAACCCCATCTCTACTAAAAACACAAAAATTAGCTGGGCATAGTGGCACATGCCTTGTAGTCCCAGCTACTCAGAAGGCTGAGGCAGGAGAATTGCTTGAATGCAGGAGGTGGAGGTTGCAGTGAGCCAAGATTGTGCCACTTCACTCCAGTCTGGTGACGGAGTAAGACTCCCTCTCAAAAAAGAAAGAAAGAAAAATCCAATCTCTCCAGCTTCTATGCCAAGCACCTCATTCATTGTACTCCAAACAGCTCCCTACTTTCCCAGTGTCCTCTATAATTAGCCCTAGGCCTGAGATCCTCTAGACTTTTTCTTTTCTTTTTTTTCTCGGGATGGGACTGAACCTGACAAGGCTGCAGGGCTTCAAGGCCGTGCCCCACAAGACGTTTTCTTAAAAAAATTTTTTTGGAGGCTGGGCGCAGTGGCTCAAGCCTGTAATCTCAGCACTTTGGGAGGCCGAGGCGGGTGGATCACGAGGTCAAGAGATCGAGACCATCGTGGTCAACATGGTGAAACCCCGTCTCTACTAAAAATACAAAAAATTAGCTGGGCATGTTGGCACATGCCTGTAATCCCAGCTACTCAGGAGGCTGAGGCAGGAGAATTGCCTGAACCCAGGAGGCGGAGGTTGCGGTGAGCCGAGATCGCGCCATTGCACTCCAGCCCAGGTAACGAGAGAAACTCCGTCTCAAAAAAAAAAAAAAAAAATTTTTGGAAGGGGGTAGAGATGGGGGTCTTGCTATCTTGCTGTGTGGCCCAGGCTGGTCTCGAACTCCCAGCTTTAAGTGATCCTCCTTGGCCTTCCACAGTGCTGGGATTACAGACGTGAGCCACCACACTTGACCACTTCTAAACTTCTGAATACCAGGCAGGGCCCTCAATCCCCAGACCTCTCACTCAAATTGGATTCTACCAAATCTGCTAGATTTTTCTCTCCACTTGTCTCTCATGCTGAAGTACTTCCCTGACTTATTGTGGAGGCTGGAGTCTGGGGGGCTTGGGGTCTCTCTTCCCTTATTTCTTTCTTGCCCTTTTTCTCCCAGCACCACTCTAGGGCAGTAAATGTGTCACCTGTATGGTTTAGGGCAGGCGTCCCCAAACTGCGGCCCCCTGAAGCCATTTATCCGGCCCCCCACCGCACTTCAGGAAGGGGCACCTCTTTCATTGGTGGTCAGTGAGAGGAGCACAGTATGTGGCGGCCCTCCAACGGTCTGAAGGACAGTGAACTGGCCCCCTGTGTAAAAAGTTTGGGGACACCTGGTTTAGGGAGTCTCTTGGGATGTTTATGCGGCTATTGGAGAATCCTCTCCCCAGCTAACTGTCTCCCTCCCCTACCCCCAGAGGAAGGAAAGATCTACTCTTTGGTAGTGAATGAGACCCAGCTGGACCAGCCACGCTCCTACACGGTTCAGCTGGCCCTGAGGAAGGTGTCCCACTGCCTGCCTCACCTGCGCGTGGCCTGCATGACTTCCAACCAAAGCAGCACGCTCTACATCACTGGTATGGATCCCCACCACACCGAAAGCCCCCAACCTTGGTTAGACCCTCCAAACACCAACACCCCTCACCCTTACTCCAGCTGGATGATGAACCCCTGAGGGCATCCTAGTGAAAAGATGTGTTTAGGGCTGGGTTCGGTGGCTCACACCTGTAATCTCAGCACTTTGCGAAGCTGAGGCAGGCAGATCATCTGAGGCCCAGAGTTCATAACCAGCCTGGCCAACATGGCGAAACCTCATCTCTACTAAAAGTACAAAAATTAGCTGGGTGTGGTGGCAGGTGCTTGTAATCCCAGCTACACCAGAGGCTGAGGCAGGAGAATCACTTGAACCGGGAGGTAGAGTTTGCAGTGACCTGAGATCATATCACTTCGCTCCAGCCTGGGCAACTGAGTGAGACTCGGTCTCAAGCCACTGCGCCCGGCCTCGGTCTCAAAAATAAAAGATGTTTTCAGTTCCCAGACATCATGGCTGATGCATTCCAAGTGGGTGTGAGGACTCCCAGGCTCCTGTAGCTTTCATCCAGGTGGGGCCTTATCCCTAGGAAATCGGTGCCCAAAGCTGCTGAGCTGAAGGCTCCTGACCCCCCAGAACAGGGGGGAGTGTATTTTGAGGTGCATACCCCAGGGGTGTATCGAGATCTCTTTGGGACCCTTCAAGCCTTTGACCCCCTGGACCAGCAGATGCCGCTTGCTCTCTCACTGCCTGCCAAGGTAGGCTCCTGGAGGGATGGGGCAAAGCAGAGGGGCGGGACCATAGGGCACGGAAGATCTGAAACATGAGCAGGAATCAAATGATTGATCCAAAGGGACAGGGGACCCCTGGGGAGAGGGCCATGCAAAAAGAGATCAGCTTGGGGCTGGGCACAGAGAGAGGCTGAGGAGGGAGGATCACTTGAGCCCAGGAGTTCTAGGCAGCCTGGGCAACATAGTGAGACCCCATCTCTTAGATAGATAGATAGATAGATAGATAGATAGATAGATAGATAGATAAATAAATCAGCTGGGGATGCCAGGTTAGTGGTTGGGAGACTCTGGAGCTCAGAGTTCCTCTGCAGAGAAGAGAACGCCTATCTCCCCTTTCTGTCTTGCACTCTAGATCCTGTTCTGTGCTCTTGGCTACAATCACCTTGGCCTGGTGGATGAATTTGGCCGAATCTATATGCAAGGAAATAACAGATATGGGCAGCTAGGAACAGGGGACAAAATGGACCGAGGGGAACCCACACAGGTGAGATTGTTTTCCAGCAATTCTTCCCAATCCACTTGCTCCAATCCCCTAACCCCCAGATCTGTCCACTTCTCCAGCTTCCATAGAATCAGTTTCTGCTCCTCTGAGAAATTAAGCCAATCAGTATGTAATGCCAGTGGTTACTGGCCCATGTCTTACCCAGGGTTGGCACTATGAGGTCTATTCTCTGCACTGTAAATGTAATAGAAATTTAGTGAAGGGGTAGAGTGGGTGACCTGAGTGAGCTAGAGTAACTTCTAGAAGAGGTATAAGCAGGGGTCGGGTGTTGTGGCTCATGCCTGTAATCCCAGCACTTAGGGAGGCTGAGGTGGATAGATTACTTGAGGTCAGGAGTTCGAGAACAGCCTGGACAACATGGTGAAACCCTGTCTCTACTAAAAATATAAAAAATTATCTGGGTGTCAAGGTTTGGTGGTGGCCAACACCTGTAACCCCAGCAGTTTGGGTGGCCAAGGTGGGTGGATCACTTGAGGTCAGGAATTCAAGACCAGCCTGGCCAAGATGGTGAAACCCTATCTCTACTAAAAATACAAAAATTAGCTGGGTGTGGTGGCAGGCACCTGTAATCCCAGTTACTCAGGAGGCTGAGGCAGAGAATTGCTTGAATCCAGGAAGCGGAGGTTGCAGTGAGCTGAGATCATACCACATCACTCCAGCCTGGGTGACAGAGCAAGATTCTGTCTAAAAAAAAAAAAAGAAAGAAAAAAAAATTAGCTGGCACGTGCCTGTAATCCCAGCTACTCGGGAGGCTGAGGCAGGAGAATTGCCTGAACCTGGGAGGCTGAGGTTGCAGTGAGCCAAAATCGTGCCACTGCACTCCAGCCTGAGTATCAGAACGAGACTCCGTCTCAAAAAAAAAAAAAAAGGCAGGGCCTCGTAAGTTACATAAGACTTAGGTATGGGTAGAAAAGGCATTCTGTGTGATGAGGAGGGGGATAGGCACACAACCTGCACATACCTGGGACAGTGACAAGATGAGTCACATTAAAGCACAGAAGGCATTGGGAATCACTGAGATATAAGGTGGTACAGGTGGGCACAAGTCTGGAGAGGTGTAGATTTGGGGAAGAGTCACTGCAGGTTCTGGAATGGGAAAAGGCAATCCGTAAGAGGTAAAAGAACATGTCAGCCAGCCTTGTGCAGAGGAGGCCAAGGTGGGGAGCCTGCCAGGAGGCTGTCGAGTGACAAAGGCCTGGCGCTGCAGCGAGAATGGGAAGGAATGGATATAGGAGATATTTGGGAAGAAAATGAATAGACCCTTGAAACTGTTTAGATGTAGAAGAGTGAGGTATAAGACAGAGGTGGCTCTGGAAGAAAGGTGATACCTCCCACCTGTAATTCCAGCACTTTGGGAGACTGATGCAGGCAAATCACTTGAGCCCAGGAGTACGAGATCAGCCAGGACAACATGGTGAAATCCTGTCTCTAGAAAAAATACAAAAATTAACCAGGCCTGGTGGCATGCACCTGTAGTCCAAGCTACTCGTAAGGCTATGGGGTGGGAGGATCACTTGAGTCCAGGAAGTAGAGATTGCAGGGAGCTGAGATTATGCCATGGCACTCCAGCCTGGGCAACAGAGAGATCCTATCTCAAAAAGAAAAAGACGAGAAAGGAAGATGGTATTACCAACAAAGTGAGAGTTAAAAAGGAATACTGGTTTAAGGAAGAAGACAGTGTGAACACGGACCTCTTGCAGTGAGAGTAGAACACTCAACTGGAGGCTGGGCAGGGAGGCTTATGCCTGGAATCCCAGCACTTTGGGAGGCCAAGGTGAGCTGATCGCTTGAGGTCAGGAGTTTGAGACCAGCCTGGTCAACATGGCAAATTCCTGTCTCTACTAAAAATACAAAAATTAGCCAGGTGTGGTGGCGTGCACCTGTAATCCCAGCTACTTGGGAGGCAGAGGCATAAGAATTGCTTGAACCTGGGAGGCGGAGGTTGTAGTGAGCCAAGATCGCACCACTGCACTCCAGCATGGGCAACAGAGCGAGACTCAGTCTCAAAACAAAACAAAAACCCACACTCAATTGGAAACGTCTAGCTGGCAATTAAATTCTACCTGGGAACATGGTTGAACGGACAGAAGTAGAGACTGAGAAGCATCTCTGGGAAGCAGGCCCCGTGGTAGGCAGGGGTTGAAGAAGAGGTGCCTCTGAGACAGGCCATGCACCCCTCTAACAGCTGTCCCAGAAGCCACGGGAGAAGGAAGTTTCACATGGGATGGGTGGCAGGGTGGTTAATGGTGATGGTGTGACAATGTACTCACATTGTCAAAGATACATTTAGTACTGACATGGAAAAGATTTCATAAATTTTTTTTAAGTTAAAAAAATTTATGAAATAGTTTACATTGTACCATTTATTTTTATTTTTATTTTTATTTTCAAGACATAGTCTCTCTCCATCTCCCAGGCTGGAGTGTAGTGGCATGTCTTGGCCCACTGCAACCTCTGCCTATCAGGTTCCAGTGATTTTCCTGCCTCAGCCTCCTGAGTTGCTGGGACTACAGGTGTAGCCACCATGCCTAGTTAATTTTTGTATTTTTAGTAGAGACAGGGTTTCACCATGTTGGCCAGGCTGGTCTCAAACTCCTTACCTCAGGTAAGCCACCTGCCTTGGCCTCCCAAAGTGCTGGGATTACAGGCGTGAGCCACCGCACCTAGCCACTTTTTATTTTTATTATTATGTTTTTGAGACAGGGTCTCACTGCTTCCCAAGCTAAAGTGTAGTGGCATGATCATAGTTCACTGCAGCTTCCAACTCCCCCGCCTCAACCTCCCAAGTAGCTAGGACTACAGGAATATGCCACTATGCCTGGATAATTTTTTTTTTTTTTTTTTTTTTTTTTTGAGGCAGAGTTTTGCTCTTGTTACCCAGGCTGGATTGCAATGGTGCGATCTCGGCTCACCGCAACCTCCGCCTCCTGGGTTCAGGCAATTCTCCTGCCTCAGCCTCCTGAGTAGCTGGGATTACAGGCACGCGCCACCATGCCCAGCTAATTTTTTGTATTTTTAGTAGAGACGGGATTTCACCATGTTGACCAGGATGGTCTTGATCTCTTGACCTCGTGATCCACCTGCCTCAGCCTCCCAAAGTGCTGGGATTACAGGCGTGAGCCACCGCGCCTGGCCGATAATTTTTTTTTTTTTTTAATAGACAATGTCTTGCTCTGTTGCCCAGGCTTATATTGAACTAATGGCTTTAAGCAGTCCTCCCACCTCAGACTCCCAAAGTGCTGGGATTACAGATGTGAGCCACCACACCTAGCACTATCTCATTTTTTGTTTAAAAAAAAATAAATAAATACACAACTTGCCCATACTGGTGGCTAGCATCTGTAATCCCAGCTACTAAGGAGGCTGAGGCAAGGGGACTGCTTGAGGCCAGGAGTTAGAGGCCGCAGTGAGCTGTGGTCACACCACTGTACTACAGCCTGGGTGACACTGACACCCTCCCTCTAAAACAATATACAACTTATGTATATTTATTTATTTAGCTAACAGTAAAGAATATCTAGCAAGATGTTAATAGTGGGTGACGGGATTTCCAGTGATTTTAAAACTAATTTTTGCTTGACAATGTTTCACAATTTTTCTAGGATGACCATAAATTACTTACCAGTGTCTTTAGAATTAAAGCACTAACAGGCTCAGGAGAAGGAGCAGGCAGAAGAGGCCCTGGGATTTAGCTGCTGAGAGGCCAAGTGCCTTTAGAGATAGCATGTCAGTAGTGTAACAGAGAAGCCAGATCCCTGGGAGTTACTGGAAGGACTCGCTGTGGGAAGGAACAACAATGTGGTCAAGCTCAGATTGGTCATGTAACCAACTCTGCTGCTTGAGAGAGAGAGAGAGAGGCAGGAAGTGGCAGGAAGCAAGTAGAAGCGTTTTTTTCAAAAACAGGGTGGCCATTTTGGAAAACTATGTGATAAGTTGAAAATACTAGGCTGGGTGTGGAGGCTCATGCCTGTAATCCTTCACTTTGGGAGGCCGTGAAGACCAGCCTGGCCAACATGGTGAAACCTTGTCTCTACTAAAAATACAAAAATTAGCTGAGCATGGTGGTGCATGCCTGTAATCCCAGCTACTTGGGAGGCTGAGGCAGGAGAATCACTTGAACCTGGGAGATGGAGGTTGCAGTGAGCTGAGATCGTGCCACTGCATTCCAGCCTGGGCATCAGAGTGAGACTCCATCTCAAAAAAAAGAAAATGAAAATGCTAGAGTGCTGGCTGGGCATGGTAGCCCACGCCCGTAACCCCAGCACTTTGGGAGGTTAAGGCAGGTGGATCACCTGAGGTCAGGAGTCTGAGACCAACATGGTGAAACCCTGTCTCCACTAAAAATACAAAAACTAGCTGGGCGTGGTGGCAGGGACCTGTAGCCCCAGCTACTTGGGAGGCTGAGGTGGGAGGATCATTTGAACCCAGGAGATCGTGCCATTGCACTCCAGCCTGAGCAACACAGTCAGACTTCATCTCAAAAAAAGAAGAAAGAGAAAAAAGAAAATACTAGAGCAGAAGGGAGGGACAGTGGAAGGAAAGTCCTTCTTTGGGATGGCGTGGCAGGCTACCCTGGAATTGCACAAGGAGCAGGTCTCCCTGAGGCTGGACTGGCACAGACGTGTGGGCTGACAATGAGAGGTACATAGCAGGCCCAGGGCTCAGGCAAGGAGCTGGTTTTCTGGGGGGCATAGATGAGGTGCCAACAGAAGAACAAGACCCCATGTGACTAGTTAGAGTATGGGGGCTGCAGGGGTCAGTAGGGCAGATCTAGGGTGCAGGGCAGTGCTGGCTCCCATTTCGTCATCCCCATTTCACATTCTGCCAGAGCCTTCCAGTCAACCTTTTCCCACCCCAGCCCCCGAGTCCCCCGGTGCTCCCCGCTCAGGGCCCCTGGCCATGTGTCCCCAGGTTCGTTACCTGCAGCGGCCCATCGCACTGTGGTGTGGCCTCAACCACTCCCTAGTGCTGAGCCAGAGCTCGGACTTCAGCAAGGAGCTGCTGGGCTGCGGCTGCGGGGCTGGGGGCCGCCTCCCCGGCTGGCCCAAGGGGAGTGCCTCCTTTGTCAAGCTCCAAGTCAAGGTCAGATCGGGGTCAGGGGAGCGGGCACCCAGGGAGGACGAGAGCCCTGAGCCAGGAAGCCCACAAGACTGTAGCTGGAGCTTTTGCAGGGACACAGGGAGTCCCATTTCCCCAGCACCACCCCACCTACTTCCTCTGCCACATAACATGCACTCTGCTCTGTCCCTTAGCAGACTGTGCTGGCCACAACACCCCTGGGACTTAGCAGGCTCAGGGCTGGTGTGAGAGGGAAGAACACAATAGGCAGATCAGCCCGGGCTCCCTGGGAACCCCTGCAAGGAAAGCACCACTCAGCCCCGCCCCTGTCTTGCCTCCTCCAAGGTCCCTCTGTGTGCCTGTGCCCTCTGCGCCACCAGGGACTGTCTCTACATGCTATCCAGCCATGACATTGAGGAGCACACCTCCTATCGTGACTTGCCAGCCAGCAGGGTGGTGGGGACGCCCGAGCCCAGCCTAGGGGCCGGAGCACCCCAGGACCCTGGGGGGACGGCCCGGGCCTGCGAGGAGTACCTCAGCCAGATCCACAGTTGCCACACATTGCAGGACCGCATGGAGAAGATGAAGGAGATCATAGGGTGGATGCCCCTGATGGCCGCACAGAAGGACTTCTTCTGGGAGGCCCTGGACATGCTGCAGAGGGATGTGGGAGGCGGGGGTGGTGGCCCCCAGCCCCTGAGAGCTAATCCCCCTCATGCTAGCCCAACTCCTGGAGAGAGTCCGCCCCAGCCAGGGGCTAAGGAGCAATGACCACTCTGCGCATTCGTGTGGGATGGGGTTGCTACGGGCTGTGGACCACTAGCCAGGGTAGGGCAGGGAATTGTTTTGTAAAAATGTTCAGGGGGCTGTCCAGGAGGGGCCTCCAACCTGACTATCATGGACAAGAAATTTGATGGATAGAATAAAAGGCTGCAGCGAGGCCTGGCGTGGAAGCCTGGGGGGCTGGAGGGCCAGGGGCAGGGATGGAGGCCTGCTGCCCAGCTCAGTGGGTATGGGAGGGCAGGAGCCCAAGCAGGGGAAGGCAGCACAAGCAGCTCCAGGTCTCAGGTGCTGCAGAGCTGATGGCGTCCGAAGCCATCACGTTGCTGTCCACTCCCTACTCCCGAGAGCCTACCCAGTTGTTGGAACTGGGAAGTCCCAGCCCACCTTCTGGAACAGCTCTGCACAGATGCTCTTGGCTATCCTACTGAGATCCCCTGTCTACCAAACTTATCCCCATCGTGGGGCAGCAGGTTCCTCCTGACCCTCGAAAACTTCCCACCCATCTCCCTTTGACCTGAAGCCAGCCCTTCCTCTCTTCCTGCTGTTTACCTCCTGGGTCTGGGCTCATTCGTCCTTTTCCCCCTATTTTCTACTCTTTGCACCTCTTCCTCAGTAATAGAGACACTCCCTTTGTCCACACCCCACGCCTCCTGTCTCGCTTCCTGTACCTTCAAGTATTTGGAAGAGGTCATTTGGAAGAATTCCTCCTCCTTGGCCTAGCTTGGCCTAGGTCTGGAGAGAAGGCAGTAGAGAGTTGAAGTGAAGGCCTGGCTCAGTGGCTACACCTATAATCCCAGCACTTTGGGAGGCCAAGGCAGGTGGATCATGAGATCAGGAGTTCAAGACCAGCCTGACCAAGATGGTAAAACATCATTTCTACTAAAAACATAAAAATTAGCTGGGTGCCTGTAATCCCAGATACTTGGGAGGCTGAGGCTGGAGAATTGCTTGAACCCAGGAGGCAGAGGTTGCAGTGTGCCTAGATCTCACCACTACACTCTAGCCTGGGCACAGAGCAAGATTCTGTCTCAAAAAAAAAAAAAAAAAAAAAAATTAGCCAGACGTGGTGGTATATTCCCCTGTAATCCCAGCTACTTGGGAGGCTGAGGCACAAGAACTGCTTGAACCTAGGAGGTGGAGATTGCAGTGACCCAAGATCGCACCACTGCACTCTAGCCTGGGTCACAGAATGAGACTCTGTCTAAAAAAAGAAAAAAAAATTTGAGTGGAAAATGAGCTAGCAGGGGTGGTCAGGCAGGGGGTGAGCAATGAGGGCTCCTGAGCTGAGGAAGCAGGGGCTGGGGGTTGATGGGGGATAGAGACTCCTCAGAAGGTTCCCCAAGATGCCCCCTCACTGGATAGAGTGAGATTCCCGATGACATTACTTGAGGCCTGGGTGATGGCCTCTGCCCCTCACTACTGCTCCTCCTTCTTAGGTCAATATTTATGTGTCCTAGACCTAGAGAGGTCCCAGGACGCTCCACTGTCCCGCCTTCCCCACTGCCCGCCCCACTGGCCAGTCCCCACGCCCACACACCCGAGGCTGCCCCATCTGGCGCTGATCATCTTGCTGCTGCTGCTGCCGCCACTGCTGCTCTGCAAAATTCAGCTGCTGCTTCTGTCTCAAGGACCCCACCGCCTTTCCCCGGGGCGATGCTGCCTGCAGCCACAGCCTCCCTCCTGGGGCCCCTCCTCACTGCCTGTGCCCTGCTGCCTTTTGCCCAGGGCCAGACCCCCAACTACACCAGGTAGGTCTCTTGGCATCTTCCAGACAGCTCCAGTGAACTTCAGACTCCCCATTACTGGGGGTTATGCCTGGGGATATTTTGGGTTCTGTGGCTGACATACCACTCCCCAGATTCCCCACCACCTCACCCTTCTCTGGCCCCCAACTGCTCCACATCTGCTGCAAGACCTTGGTCTCCCACAGGCCATCACTGCTCCCATTCCCCCACTTTCGTCCTCTGGTCGCTTTAGTCTCCCCACCCATCCAGATCCTTGGCTCCCCACAGAACTCAAGAGAGAGCCCAGTTCCTGAACTTGTCTGGTAGCTGGATTCCAGGAAGGGATTAGAGACGTATTGTAGGGGGAGGAGAGGGCAGCGAGTGGAGATGTGGGAGTCAGATTCTGAAGTACTAGTTAGGAACAGGGGCAGGGCTAAGGTTACCAGCTCCGGGAGCCTGGCCTCCAGGCTCACTGTGAGGGCCATCGCCACTGCTGCTGCCTCCGTCTCCCCGCCCCCGCCATCGCCTCGTGGCTGTCTCCACATCTGGAAGTAGTTAGGCGGCTCCTGTCCCCGGACTGCCAGGCAGACTGAGGGGGGAGTCAGGAAGGGGGGCCGAGGAGGATTCCGGGAATTCCTGTTGGGGTGGGGGTGGGGTTGCAGGGATGGTCGAGTTACCAAACCCACTTTTCCCTTATCTTCTGTTGGAGTCTGGGACACCCCAGCCCTGTCCTGGCCGGTGGAAGCTGCCCAGGTCTCTCAAGTCTTTCCATTTCGTCCTCTGGCTTCCCTCCCTGGAGTTTCATCCTCATGACCCCATCCCCTCTCGTCCCCACCTTTCCCTGCTTTTTTTTTTTTTTTTTTTTTTTTTGAGACGGAGTCTTGCTCTGTTGCCCAGGCAGGAGTGGTGAGTGGTGCAATCTCAGCTCACTGCACCTCCACCTCCCAGGTTCAAGCAATTCTTCCAACCTCAGCCTCCTGAGTAGCTGGGACTACAGGTGTGCACCACCACACTGGGCTAATTTTTGTATTTTTAGCCAGGCGCAGTGGTTCACGCCTGTAATCCCAGCACTTTGGGAGGCTGAGGTGGGTGGATCGCCTGAGGTCGGAGTTCGAGACCATCCTGACCAACATGGCAAAATCCCCTCTCTACTAAAAATACAAAAAATTAATCAGGCATGGTGGCAGGTGCCTGTAGTCTCAGCTACTCAGGAGGCTGAGGCAGAATTGCTCGAACCCAGGAGATGGAGGTTGCAGTGAGCCAACTGCACTCCAGCCTGGGTGACAGAGTGAGACTCTGTCTCCAAAAACAAATTGTATTTTTAGTAAGACATGGGCTTTCATTATGTTGGCCAGGATGGACTTGAACTCCTGACCTCAGGTGATCTGCTCACCTCAGTCTTCCAAAGTGCTGAGATTATAGGCGTGATCCACTGTGACCGGCCCTGCTCCAGGTCTCTTAAGGCCTTTCCATTTAGTTCCCTGGCCTTCCTCCCTGGAGTTTCATCCTCATCACCCCATTCACATCTTGCCATTGCTCCCCCATCCCAACCGTCCCTGCTCTTTTCTGACCTCTCTTCTGTTCTCCAGACCTGTGTTCCTGTGCGGAGGGGATGTGAAGGGGGAATCAGGTTACGTGGCAAGTGAGGGGTTCCCCAATCTCTACCCACCCAATAAGGAGTGCATCTGGACCATAACGGTGAGAAGCCCCTCTGGGCACTATCCCTTGTCAAAGGGGCAAAGGTCTGACTGTGAAGGGACCCCCACCTTCCCCAGCACCACCTTCTCAACCTGGGGCAGCTCCCTTCCCTCTGTCACTGAAAGCATCATTCCCAAGCAACAAGCACTCTTTAACCATTCCCTCAAATTCTCATTCTCCAGCCCCCAACGCTCCCTCCTCTTCCAAAGCCTCAGCTCTTGTCCCCTGCACAGGCCACCAGCAGAGCTGTAGAGACCAGGCCCTCTGCCCTGCACTCACATGCATGTCCCTTCCTGTTCAGTCCGATTCCGCAAGAAACGCTTGGGCAGAGGAGCTGCCCTCTGGCTGGGTTGTGTGTGGCCTGACCCTGGGTCCCCACCTCTGTCCCCGCCATCAGGTCCCCGAGGGCCAGACTGTGTCCCTCTCATTCCGAGTCTTCGACTTGGAGCTACACCCTGCCTGCCGCTACGATGCTGTGGAGGTCTTCGCTGGGTCTGGGACTTCGGGCCAGCGGCTCGGACGCTTTTGCGGGACGTTCCGGCCTGCGCCCCTAGTCGCCCCCGGCAACCAGGTGACCCTGAGGATGACGGCAGACGAGGGCACAGGAGGACGAGGCTTCCTGCTCTGGTACAGCGGGCGGGCCACTTCGAGCACTGGTGAGACCTCCCTCACCTCCGCCTTCCCCCCTCCAGGCCCCGCCCCGGGCGCAGCCCTGCCCCCAGCCCTAACCTCCGCCCCGCCCACCCCGCGCCCCAGCGCCTAGGGCCCCTTACCTCCCTGACCCATTTTCCTCACTAACCGCCCCTTCAGTCCCTCCTCCCCGTCTTCTCTCCCTCCTCCCGCACCCACCCATCCCCTCTTCCAGGCCCCCCCCCAGGCGCGAGGCGGAAATGGGTCACCGACCCGCGGGTGGAATGGGCGGCCTGGGGTTACTGGGACGGTGAGTAACTGCCCGCCCCCGTCCGCAATCGGGCTCCCTCCGACGGGCGCGAGGGGGCACCCCAGGGCTGGGGGACTAGGTTCCTCCGACCCGAGGGGGGGCTCCCTCTACACCCAGCACTGGGCTCCCGATTGCGGTCCCATCACCCACTCCTGGCGGCAGAAGTTTCCCTTGCAATGTTTCAGGCGGGGACCTCCGCGAAGGGGGCCTCGGGGGCTGTGCTCCAAGTCGACGACACCCTCTTCAGCCTGAAAGGGGACTCTGCTGCCGGGCCGGGGAGATGGGATCTCCTAGGGGAAGAGGCGCGGTGCGGCCGCGGGTCGGGGAGGGACCAGAAGGGGGCGTCCAGCCAGTTCCTCCTACCGCTTCCACCGCTCGCCTGTGCGCCCTGCAGCCCCAAATTTCCCAGAGCCGCGCTCCTCCCGGCCACTCTCTGCTAACCTGCCCCCATCTTACCTCCCCTTCTTCTCGTCCCCTCATCCTTAGCCCCAGACATTCAAACTGCCTGCCGGGGCTCCCAGCCTGGAGCTCTCCTAGAGCTGACCGAGGGTCTCCACCGCCC